GCAACAGCAAGATATACAGTACTGTGCAAAAGTCAGAGACCACTCCTTATTTATTTCCAGTCAAAACAGCCATTAAGCACTTATTTTTCAGGAGATATTTCTGTAGAGATATGATTACAAATTAGATAAAACAACTAGCATAAAAAGAGCAAAGTCAAAGGAAAATAAGTGGATCCAAAAATGGGGCCTGGTAGACCAAAAAACTGTCACCATCAGATAAACAGTGCTTAAAGCTTTCATCTTTGAGAGAGAGGAGAAAATCAAGCTCCACTTTTGCTTCAGATCTGAAAAATCCCCAGGTGTTTCTGTCCATCCTTCCACTATGAGAAGACAACTCAGCACTATGGGTCTGAAATGATGCGTAGCTGGCCAAACAAAGAAGCTGCTGGTAGAACAATAGACTAACCTCCCCAGAGTCCAGACCTCAGCATCATTGAATATGTTAGGGATTATTTGGATCGAAAGAAACAGAAAATGCAACCAACTTCTAAGACTGAACTCCTGAAAAGAATGGAAGAATTCTGCTTCTTATTGACATTGAAAAATGAAGACCTTGTCCTTAATGGCTGTTATGTCTGGAAATTAAATAAATGAAGGATGGTGTCTGACTTTCGCACAGTACTGTAGTCGCTGACATAGTCATAAGTCACTTTCTTTGGTGTTACAGGTAAAGAAACCTTGAGCTCTGAGCTCTGGCAGTCTGTTTTTGAAAAAGCACTGGTTCGAAAATATCTGCTTCTACACAGCAGTTCCTGGCCAGGTTGTCTCGATAGAAGTAAGGCTTGTGAGGCTTAATTCCTGATTACCTGTTTTAGAGCTCTAATTTGAGGTGACAGTGTCGGGGCAGTCCAAATGAGTTTTTCTGCTGCTCTGGATTGCTGGCTGGCATGATCTGGGTTGAGAAATTGTTTATTATTACCTTGTAGTACTTCAATTACACTGCATTTAAAGGCATACATGAAAAGGCAAAGTAAATGAACATAATTTAAGCAATGGTACAGACAGCAAATTAAAAATTATAAAAAAGGGGTTTCAGCTTTTTTTTTCATTCAGTCATTAAAGTGAAGTACATGTCTTATAGGGTGTGTCCTTGGTTTTTCTTTAATGACTTTAGTGCAGATACATCTGGCACAATAATATGACTGGAGGAATGCTTACTGGATGTGTATGAGTGTGTATAGGACTGTTCTCTAAAATACATAAAGAAAATCTGTTCATTTAAATTATTTATATATCAAAAAGAAGGAATGAATCATTTTATTAATTAGTATGTAGAGTACAATTTGACTGAATAGTTGACGAGATATTCAAACAAACAAGTACAGCCTATAATTTGTAGGTCTTAATGTCACTAAATTTGGCTGATTTTGAAGAAATCTGGCAGTGCTGCTGTTTCAGAATGAAAGCTGGGCAGGCATAGCTGGAACCTCAGCTAGGAAAAGTTGTATTTACATTTAGATGTTCTAGCATCTGCTGTTTGTTAAATTAAATCTGCAAAACACATTTATGTGGCTCAGTCAGCCAAGTTCAGGCTTATTTACATGCATGTTGGAGTAATTGCAGCTGATAAAACCAAATGACTTGAAGGATGGTATGAAATTACTCCTTTATTTATTTTCCATAGACAAAACTCAAGCAGTGTGACACTGTCAGAGATCACCCTTTCATTTACTTCATTTCCAGTCAGGATGGATATTAAATAAAAGTTATTCAGGAAAAAAAGTAACATAAAAAACAATTTAAAACATATTTAACAGAAAATTACACAGAAGTATCAACAACTAAATATTATACACCCACTGAGCACTTAGTATTACTATTAGTAATACTATTAGTACTAGTAAACCTACCTTGTATCTACACTCATTGTCCATTTTATCAGCTCCACTGACCTTATAGAGGGCCTTCCACAAATATTGCCATGCTTGGTAATTAGGAACAAAATAAGTTGTAAAAATATTCCTAATTACTTTTTCTTCTTGATCTTTCTTTCAAAATGTTAGCAAAAATATAGCCTTAAGGTAAGATGACTGATAGTAAAAACTAAATCTTGTCATGAAAAGAATATTTTTCTTAAATCTATGTTTACCACAATTATTAGCACCCCTAGAAACTCTTAAGATCGAAATCTAAATGAAGTATATTGCCGTTCATATTTTATGTTTTTAAGTTCACCAGGTGATTAGGAACACTTAACTGGTCAGCCAGGACTTCCTGTTTCACTGGGGAGTATACATGAGATGAAACACAGGCCAAATTGCCTTCATTTATGAGAAAGACCAGAGAAAACAGCAGTGTTGTAAACATGTTAAGAATCTGCCAGGAAAAGAAAGAAAACCAACACACTCAAGTGCCTACAGTTCGCCAGCCATTACTGGAACTTTCAGTGGGATCATTTTCTATGGTCAAATGCTAATGGCCATCCCAGTCCCCTGACCTAAACCCCATAGAAAACCCGTGGGATGAGCTGAAGAGGAGAGTTGACAGTGTGGACCTGGAGAGGTTCTGTATGGAGGAATGGTCTCAGATCTTTTGCCATGTGTTCTCTTGTCTCATTAAGCATTATTGGAGAACATTATTATAAAAATTATAACAAATATTTATTTCCTTATTTTTTTCATTGTACTTGAAAAAGGTTAGAATTTTGTTAATTTGTTGAATGATAGATCAAAAGTATAGTCAATAAAGAATGTTTTTACAGCCTGTTTGGTTCATGTTTATCAGGGTGCCAATATTTGTGGAGGACACTGTAGGTGCATTTTACAGTTCTACAGTTTCTACAGTTGTTACAGTTCTCTACTTTCTTATCCCACTTTTACCACCTTCTTAAAAGTGCAGTAACAAAAACAGCGTGTTACACTGAAAGTGATAAAGTTATATTGGAAAATAGTCTGTAAAAAATGAATAATGGTTGTTTTGTCATATAAATCTACACAGATAATAAGATATAAGAAGACCTTAGGTGACAAAATAAAATACAAGAAAAATGTAGTTTTTCTTTAAAGGTGTTTTTCAGTGGAGCTTTCTCTCTCTCTCTCTCTCTCTCTCTCTCTCTCTCTCTCTCTCTCTCTCTCTCTCTCTCTCTGAGAGAGTCTATTAATTTGTAAATGTTTTCCGATTTAATTATAATGTCAGTCAGAGAGATGGAATCCTGTAGCTTCAGCCAACTTGGCACACCACAAATTGGTCTCTGACAAATTGGGGAGGGGAGAGAGTGGGCGAGAGTGGTTCATTTCCACATTGGTCTGTGTTGGTTTCATGTATTGTGATTCAAATTCTTCACCCTGGACAATATTCAGAAAATACAGTAAGTGGGTTATTGCTTGGCCCCATAGTACATACACACCTACAATCATAGCAGTCCACAACTTGAGGCCAGTCACAAGGCTGCCAGTCAGTGTTCAGATATTTTCACACTGTAAACAGAGGACACAGAACAGTATGCAAAAATATGTTTGATATGGAGAATGGTCTTAGATACTGTGTGTTCTACTGAGGGGTGCAAATTTAATCTGACAGGTTGGGGGTGGCGGGGGACCAACATCAGGAGGCTATAACTTACAGCAGTTCAGATGTAAAATTGTGTAAACAAAGTATGCCTACAATTACACGTATCATATTAATATCTCATGCTTTATATATAAACATTAAAACACAAAAATGCATAATATTATAAGCAGGAATAATAATATCATACATAATCGTTATAGATATTCAATTTTGTTGCCTATTTCAGTGTCATTTTTTATTTTTTTACATTATGCATCTAAGATTCTTGCATTTTGCTATAAATGTTTAGGAGAATACTGCAATAATGATTCCTATGATTATATTACTTAAAAATGAACTATGTATGGCTGTTGTGGCATATTCAGCGAACTGTTACATTACAGTAAAGAGCTGTTGAAAATTATTTCAGAGCAGGCTGGTGCTTCTTCCTTTTTGTCATTATTGACTACATACGTACATCATCTAAACTGCTTATCCTTCTGGGTCGCGGTGGGGTGCTGGAGCCTATCCCAGCTGTCATTGGCTGAAAGGCAGGATACACCCTGGACAGGTCGCCAGTCCATCGCAGGGCAATTGAATGATTCCATTATTGACTATAATGGAAGAAAAAAGCAATTTTAAATGAGGTATTTTTCTGCAAATTATAATTTACAGTTTCTTTTTCGTGGGTTTAACGTATTGGGGAAAAACAAACCAAAACAAATTTTTTTACTAATAAAATCAATAAATTGTGCACTAACCACATAAAATCTCAGGCTTATCACATGCTACGGCCAATTATTCAGGAACTACAGGGACTTCAGTGCAAACGGATTGAGTTATTTTTATGTTATAGCAGTGTGTAATAAAACTTTGGCCCTGCTGGTGGACCCTGGCCATTTAAGGGGTTAAATTGTGTAGAACTATGTTCTCTGTAGAGGTGTTAGCTTACTTTCACTTAGAAAATCAACAAAGCAAAGCATGTAATTTGACCAGGGGTGTCCAAACTTTTGTTTAAGACTATATACAACTTAAAAAGTTTGCACCAAGTATTTTTTGTAAGTACTGCATGTATATATATTAAATTCTGAGTTATTTTTAATTGTAGCACCAAGTTGTAGTTTATATACCTGGTACTTTTCACAATTATTACATACTTTATTATCCAGCACGCAAAGTATGTACCAGACTCTTTGTAAGTCCTGTATATTTACTTATCACACTGCAAAATAAAGTGCTACCAAAACCTGTATTAAAATGTGTATTGTAAACTGTGTTTAGGTTTGTGATAATGTGTGTGGGAACTGAAGTAAAGAGGTGTTAAGTAGAAAATCAGGTGTTAGAGTGAGAGAGTGTTAAACAGAGAGAGAAAGAGGAGAGAGTATGTATTCACTTGCTGGAAATACTGCACCTTGACCCTAGCTCCTCCCCTCTATTCACCTGTGTGTGTATGCGTGTGGTAACGTGTGGGGGCGGGGGGGTAGGTTAGCTCAGGTCGTGGCATTATGTCCCGGCTGTCCCCGCCCAGTTTGCTTGAGCAGGGAGAGGGGAAATGAAATACTAGCAAACCTGCTGTTACGCTCACCGTGTAGAGGCTGACAGAGCGAGAGACCTACAAAAGACAGTGATAGAGTAAGAGAGAGAGAGCTCAGAGTTTTAGTGCTTGGCTGATGGAAAACTTTGGAGCTGGTGATGTTTTTTCTTTGTCATTGCTAAATATGAAGTATCAGTAGCTGCTGCTGGAAGCAGACAGGTGTTGGGGACAGAGTGTGGAATGAAGTCGGATCGAGAGGAGGGGAAAGCCGGTGAGTATCTGGGGTTACCGGTCGTCTTCCTGAGGGAAAACAGAATCGTTTAGTGCTAAAGGAAAGTTTAAAGACCTGAATGACTGGTTCCCCTCTCAATGGGTGGGGTGTGGTGGTCAGTAATGGGGGGTTTAGGTGTTTGTTGAATGCGCTGGGACTGCAGAACCGTTATGATCTTTGGACCTGTTTACATTCAAACTGAGGCAGCAAGAGGAGATACTGTTGACATTCAAAACCAGTCCTGTTCACGCTCAAACAAGGATCAAGAGAGCAGAAACACGGCCTCTCGGGTGTAAATCTGTGACCTTGCAACAATTAAATTGGATTTGATTTTAATGCAATTCTTTCGGAAGTTATTTAACGCATCATGAAATATCAAAGTTCACCACAAATTGATTTGATTATTTTGAAACAGAGTTCAGATTCTATTTAAAAATACACAGATCACAGAAAATGTGATTGGAGGAATTATTTGCACAGTAATACGCTATAGGCCATAAAAGCAAAACACCAAACAGCATCAAAAATCTGAAAATCTTGAAAAACTTTTTTGGCCCAAAAATGAGCACATACTTCAACAGTTTCTATTATAATCAATGATAATCAATTCTAACTTTTCAACATCTGCCTGGTCGAATCACCTGTTTAAGATCTATGCATCTTCTTCTTTGCACACATGCACTGCTGTACAAGTCAGAGACCATCCTTTTTTTTAATGACACAGAAGACTTTCAGTATTGTTTCTTTATTGCAGCTTCCAGTCTTTATGAAAGACTTGCTTTCAGTTTTTCAAAGAAATCTGCAGGAATATTTTTACGACTCCTCCAAAGTTCAGTCTTAGAAGCTGATTGCGTTTTCTGCTTCTCAAAGAAGTTGAGGTCTGGACTCTGGAGTGGCCAGTCCATTGTTCAGAGAACACTTTCTTTTCTCAGTAACAGCTCTTTGGCAGCTACACGTCCTTTTAGACTCATGGTGTTGAGTTGTCTTCTCACAGTGAAAGGATGGACTGAAACACTTCTGGATTTTTCTCCTCTCTCTCAAAGATGAAAGCTTAAGCACTGTTTGTCTGATGGTGGCAGTTTTGGTGGTCTACCAGCTCTTGCACAGTTGTTAGGAGTCATTTTTCTCTATATCTGTAACCATTTGTTTACTTCAGTTTTGGAAACTTCTGTTTTTTCACTGATTTGACTTTCCTCTACCTTATGCAAGTGGATTTTCTTAAGATCTTATCTCCTCACAAATGTCTCCTTAAAAATGGCTTGTACTTTAAGGCCGTTTTGACTGAAAATTAAATCAGCAGTCTCTCATTTTGCAGTAGTACTGTACATTGATAATAAAATGACATAAAGTCACACCAAAGCCTGACATTTTCAGGTTCATGTGCTCCAGAGTCTTCAGGGCTTGAAATTAGTTTTTGAAAATGGAAGAGGATATAAATTAATATTGAGCCTGAGCTCCAGGCGTTCATTGCTTATAAACTAGCCTCTCTTCTTGCTGATCTCTTTCTGGGCCAGTGCCCTCTCCATTAAATATACAAGAGCAGTAATCTGTCATTGGCCTTGGCCCTCTGTCTTTTTCTAACTAAGTGTTTCATCCCTCGTTTTCAGTCACAGTGCTTTTGTCTGAAGAACACATTATTGATTATCTCTAGTCTTACTCCTGGCTCTCTAAATTCTGTCCATTTCTTTCCACTGTCCAACTGCTCTAGTGAATCAAATTATACTGGCAAAATGACACTACACTGGTGAAATTATACTGGTTTACTGAGGTCAATGGTTTGAAATTACAGTGGTTGGAAATGACTCACATTTGTGAGTTGTTGTATTACTGAGTGAACAGTCACATTTTGATTTACAATGAATGGGAAAAAAAAATTACTTGACACCACCAATCAGCTGTAACATTAAAACCACCTTGTTGTTTCTACACTCATTGTTCCTTTTTTATCAGCTCCACTTACCATATAGGTGCACTTTGTAGTTCTACAATTACAGACTGTAGTACATCTGTTTCTCTGCATACTTTGTTAGCCCCCTTTTACCCCGTTCTTAAATGGTCAGGACCCCAATAGGACCACCACAGAGCGGGTATAATTTGGGTGGTGGATCATTCTCAGCACTGCAGTAACACTGACGTGGTGGTGGTGTGTTAGTGTGTGTTGGGCTGGTACGAGTGGATCAGACACAGCAGTGCTGCTGGAGTTTTTAAACACTGTGTCCACTCACTGTCCACTCGATTAGACACTCCTACCTTGTCAGTCCACCTTGTAGATGTAAAGTCAGAGACAGTAGCTCATCTGTAGCTGCACAGTTTGTGTTGGTCATCCTCTAGTTCTTCATCAGTGGTCACAGGATGCTGCCCACAGGACACTGTTGGTTGGATATTTTTGGTTGGTGGACTATTCTCAGTCCAGCAGTGACACTGAGGTGTTTAAAAACTCCAGCAGCACTGCTGTGTCTGATCCACTCAGACCAGCACAACACACACTAACACACCATCACTACATCAGTGTCACTGCAGTGCTGAGAATGATCCACCACCCAAATAATACCTGCTCTGCGGTGGTCCTGTGGGGTTCCTGACCTTTGAAGAACAGGGTAAAAGGGGACTAACAAAGTGTGCAGAGAAATAGATGGACAACAGTCTGTAATTGCAGAACTACAAAGTGCACCTTTATAGTAAGTGGAGCTGATAAAATGGACAATGAGTGTAGAAGGACAGTGTCATATATACATTTTCTGTATCATTTTATTTGAAACTTTTAAGGAACACCTGTTGGGGCTTTATTGAGGTCTGCTTTGTTTATTAAGGTTCTTTGCTCCAATTAGACAGTTCTGAATGGTTTATTCACTATGCATTAAGCTTTATACATTGTAACCTGTATTAATATATAATTGGAGATCTGTTATGTGTTATCTATTGTAAAAATGTATAATATACACTTTGTTTATACCTTTTTATGTGAGCACAAATGATCAAATTCTCTTATTAGTGTACAAGTGGGAACATTTGGGTTCTAGGTAGTGTCATGCTTATTGCTTTATTTGGGTATATTACTTAAGAGCTGATGAAAGTCATGAAAAGACACAAGATGTGCTCCATATTCTGAAGTACAGTTTTAGCCATTGACTTCTTGTATAACAACCAAAATACCAAGTTGTCAGTTTGTAATGTGAATTGACTTACTGAAAACTTGTTATGCACTTTTTAGCATCTAATTAATGATGACTGAAATTGTGCTTTAGAATATAGAACATGTTGAGGGAGTAGTGAATTATTAAACTCTTATTTACTCTAAAGTTATAAACTACCTAGAAACAAATGCTGCCTGTTACACTCTAATAAGATGTAAATTTTGAATTTAATGCAGTTATTAGTGTTTCTCTCCAATCATGTACTAATACAAGTTATACTGAATAAAGCTTTATGCATAGTGAATAAACCATTTGAAAGCGTCTAATAAGGCTTACAAGTCTAATAAATGCTGACAAAAGAGCCTTAATAAAGTCCCTTTAGGTGTTCCTGAAAATAAAGGGACACCAATTTTTCTTGTGCTTCGTTGGCCCCAAACACTACACATTTAATGTGCACAAATCAAATTCACATTTTCCCATTTCCCATTGAAAATATTTGAATTAAAAAAACGTTTTTATTATTATGCAAAAAAATAAGTAGGATACATAACTACAGTAAAAGCCAGGCCTATTCTGATGTGTCCTTGAGAATGACTTACTCATAAAATTTCCCTGGCAGTGATTTTCTGCTGTCATTAAACTAAAGAGAGTGACTGTGCTAAAAGTGTGAGCACACCAGTAGTAGTGCAAGAAAGGTGTGTATGTGGAGCGAGTGTTTGAAGCTGTCTAGCAGCATAGCCTCAACAGCTAAACTAGAAGTTCAGTTCAGCTCATACATATTACGTGATTATTAGCTCACTGAGCTACACAGCATCCACCTTTAGAAAGTTGCCTTGTCAAAAAACATCTGTTATCTAAAGCAGATCATTGATTTCCTTACACAAGAACGTATTTTGGCCCATTAGTGTTATTCAGTTTATAAAGTAAACATATTGCTTCGTTCAGAATGACTGGGTTGCTAACAGGCTGTCGGATGTTTGCAGATATCCCCAATTTAAAACTCTAATTAAGGCCAAAATTATTTTTGTTGTTTTTTCTTGTTTGGGGTCAGCAGTGCCATATTCTTCCCTTCATTTGAATCGGCTCCCTTCGTACTAATTGGCTTGAAACATACAAGGAGCTACAGCAACCGAATGGACATTTTCTACATTCAAATGTGCATTTTTTTCATCAGATTTGAAAGTGGAATATTATTTTCACAGCCCTATTGCGCACACTGGGCCTCGTTCACCAATATCTTCCTAAGTTTTTCTGAAATTTGTGCTTTAGAAAGGTCCTAAGAAAAGTCTATATCAGATTCATAACAGAACTGTTCACAGTTTTGTGCTCTTGAGTGTGTGTAGATTCTGCTCTTACCTAAGAACAAATACCAATTAGAAGACAGTGGTGAATGTCAGAGTCTTTATGAGAACTGCATAAGAAATTTCTTCTTAAGAACGGCTGGTAAATGAGGCCCTTTGTTTTTACAGCTGACTAAGTGATGCTCTGTACTGTTATTCTTTTCTTTTTGAAGCCATTCTGACAATTACATCCCAAACCCACCTCAAAAAACCTCAGTTCAGCCCAATATTAAATAAATAATTATGTAAAGTAAGTCAACTGTATAGCAAAGTAACAATAATGACTGTATTCCGTTAAAGGTTAAATGACTTTTGTGCACATTATCCATGTACAACTTATTCAAAGAATGGCTCATTTCTTTAATGAATTAGGTACTTCAAAGCACATATCATTTACCCTGAGTTACGCTGAAAGTGCAGTTGACCAGCTCATTTTCTGCTGCACTCGCGCTGGTTTAAGTAGCCCATTATCTACTGCTTGTGTGATTGTGCAGCTGGGTGTCTGCATTATCCACTAAGAGCTGCATTGTGCATAATGACATTTGAGTGCTTAATTAACATAGAAATTAATGTGGGCATTTTGTAACAGTGGCTGATAAACCTCATTCTGTTGCACACGCTGCACACTATGCAGGTCTTCTCTCCATCATTCAGTTTGTTGTAATTTCAGTTTGACTTTAGCCAGCTTGTTTCCAGACCTCTCCTTGAGGAAGCCTAGTATTAACAGTTACCGTCCGATACCTAGTTTACCTAATCGATCCTTCATTAAATTACAGGTGTGTTGCTAATGAGTTTGTGCAATAGAAAATTCAGTAAGAAGTCAGGAATCAAACTTATGCAACTGTATTTTTCTATATCTTAAGATATTAATAACTTTTTACAATAAAGAAACCTGTAATGTTTTACTGTATGTATGTTTATTTATACTTACTATAGTCATAAAGTGTTACACTACATATGTGTATATATATATATATATAGTCCATTTTTTCAGCTCCACTTAACACATAGGTGCACTTTGTAGTTCTACAATTTTACCCTTTTACCCTGTTCTTCAGTCGTCATAACTCTCATAGGACAGTTTAAAAACTCCAGCAGCGCTGCTGTGTCTGATCCACTCGTACCAGCGCAACACACACTAACACTCTACCACCACGTCAGTGTGACTGCAGTACTGACAATGAACCTACACCTAAATAATACCTGCTCTGTGGTGTCCTGTGGGGGTCCTGACTATTGAAGAACAGGGTAAAGACAAAGACTGTATCTGTTTATAGTAAGCAATGGCCTAATACATGCATTGTTTGCCATGTAGTGTATTATTTACGTATATTTTCTAGGCTTTCTGTCTTATCTTTTGAAGGGCTTGGTATGATTTTTTTCTGTTCCATTGTAATTATTTGGCGTGATTTTACAATGTCTTGTTTTACTCAGTTAGTTAAAAAAATGATCAGCTGACAATTTGAATGACAAACAGGGAATCTGCATGTCATTCTAAAGCCATGTTTATCAGTCTGAGGATTCTCCACAAAGGAGAGCTATTGACACTCAGACATTGAAAAAGAGGAAACCCACACCAACAGGATCTCATGAATGTGTGTCTGATTGAAAGTTTTATGTATATAAAGGAAAGTTAAATGTTTGCTGTAATAAACTACAGGTCATCAAGTATGAGTACTTGATTAATCGTCAAAACCTTTAGATTACTTGATTGTGAATATCGGTAGTGACATCCCCTATATCGGTAGTGACATCCCTTATAATATAATTAATAGCAACAGCTCTCATATCATGCTCATCTTTTTTTCTGCATCTCCCACGCTTAGCAATGCCATTTGCAAAATATGGTGTAGGGACCATGAGAGCAGAGTTGGTAGAATTTTGGCAGTAGAGCCAATCTGGCTGTCTGCTAGGTCATGTAAACAAACCCAAGCATTCAGAACACTTCCATAAAGCGCACACAGTCACACACATGCACAAGATAAGGTTTGAATGTGTAAGGAAGTGTGACAGTTTGTCAGAGCTGCAGTGCTGATCTGATTTATGCTACTTCTTCATTTTGTCTTTGTCAACACCGAGCTGTCAAGGCCTCATGATAACAATTCCCACATCAAACAGACTCTCATGAAAGGATTTATACTGTCATGATTCAGTGCTGTTATATGGTGAGGCAGTAAGCCACATTCTACCTGATTTGTAATGGAGCCCTCAGAGATTCAGGATTCAAGGTGATGCAATTTCAGACTGTTTTGTGTGCCCACAGTATTTTTTGCTTGTAAGGTGTGCTTTTGATTTCTTTGTTACTATGTGGTCTTTGTTGGAATCCTTCACCTCTTGACTACTGCATGTTTTAGTAAAGGGACTCAGCATGCTGCTGATTAAGAAGAATGAGTGTAAGGGTTTTCTATTCTACAAAAAGCTCAGTCGTTTGAACAGATCATTCCTTCTCTCTGACAAAAGCCGCTGTACATGTTGTGGCATATGGCATTTTTCACTTTTGCTTATTTGTGATGGGGTCATTCAGTGCTATTCACTTGGTCTTCAGGCTTTCCAGGAAAGAGAAGATGAAGTTCTCTTATTTCTGCAGGAACTGAAAAGCCGATGACCAATAATAAGAGCAACAATATAGCATAGAGAGCTGGTTAAAAGCCTTGAACCACAGTGAAACAGAATAACCTTTCAGTGGAGGTCTGTTTTTGGCATTGCCTCAGAGAGCAGGATGAGGCGTTTTTTTTTTCAAGCCAAGTTTAAAATTTGAACAAATTAGTGTAATTATGAACCTCTTAAACTTCATTTTAGAAATCTCAACCTGCAGTACTTCATTCTGCTCCCACCTGCTGCCATGGAAAATCGGAATCATTTGTCCCGCTCCCGCCTGCAACCAAAACGTTTTGTCCCATGCCCACCAGCACAGTTCCTGCAAGGCGAACTGACATCCAGTGTTTGACATGGTCTATTCACTAATACATTATCCTCTGCTGAAATAACACTGCAGTCATGGCCATCAGGCTCACTGTGAAGCAACTTCACCAAACGGCACTTATTCCCTATAAACTCAAAGCAGGAATTAAACCACAGAACGGTTATTTTTAGTGTTTTGCTGGGCTTGGCAGCTGTGGCCGTCGGACTGAAAGCTCCGCCATCTCTGTAAGTTACAAGAATTTGCGTGTTGTTCAGATGACAGATTACTTCGCAACTCTTTAAAATGACTTCATTCATTTTAACTGTTTTACTGTTATCATTTTATATTGTTTATATATATGATTTAGTGACCATTCTACTTTACTTAGGCTATTCTATAATTTGCGATATTTCTCTTCATGTATGCCTCGGCTACTCTCGCCTACAGTGGGCTGGTTACCCCGGTTGGTTTTTGATACTTTTTTGATACTTTCAGAATCTTATTTATGACTCACTAATCTCTCTCTCTCTCTCCCTCTCTCTCTCTCTCTCTCTCTCTCTCACACACACACACACACACACACCATTTTCCTGTCGTCTCTCAGTGTTCAAGGCGAGAAATTTCTCTTCTATGCATCCACTCATGTTTTTTAAAGGATTGTTTTGCATAAGGCAGAGATGCCGCTATACCGTATTGAAATGTGTATTTGAATGAATTGTGAGAGCTCAGGGGATTCAGGGAAAGAGTTAATGTATGCGCATATTCAGCTGCTCTGCAGATTGAAGCAATTTGCATTAAGTAGCTGACTTTGACTAATCATTAGTTCTAATCGCTGTCTCTTTCATCTCTAAACACCATTACTGAAGTCTTTAATATCCCTTTCACACACACAGTCAGTCCTGACCAAAATCAAAACAGACACTATTACAGTCAGTCCTATCCCACACGTACACAGCTCTACACCCAAACCCAGACTTCAGATGGAAATCTAGGCTATTTTAAAATATGATTTTTGGTATTCTAACAAATAGTTTATAAACTTATAGTATTTGAATATGCCAAAAAGAAAAAGTTTTATATTATATATAAGTAAAAGCAAAAACACAAAAAGTCTAACATTTATTTATTGTGTGCAGCTAGTAGTGGTGGGAGAAAAATTACGTACATTATAATATCATAAAATGTTGGGTTTTCAAGTAGTATCCATACACAGAGGCCCACACGTTGACATGTTGTTATTGTTATTTTATTACCAAATTTAATTTCTCATCTAAGTCTACAAGGTGGCCTCTGCTTTCTGCTTAAAGCAAGGCTTCTGTCAGTGGAGGAGTTATCAAGGTTTGATGCCTCATTGATGCAGGAATTAGAAACACCACTCTATAACATCCCAATAAGAGCCCTGGAACAAGACTCCCAACAGTATGGTCACCTTCCACTATAAATCGCTTTGGATTAAAGCTTTTGTTAAATATGTAGGGATGAAGTCTGTTTAGAATGATTCTTTCCTCCAAAACTTTAGAAACTTTCTTTAATTTCTTCTTTAAATAATATAAACTCGCCCTGACTGTCACTGTCTCAGCTAAATACACACAAATTACAAGACTCTCGTCATTCTCACAGTAATTCAGTGAGAAAATGCTCTACCATATATTTTCAATCACGATTACAACCTGCAACGTAAATGATCAGATATGTGAAACAGATCAGCCACTCAGCTTGTGTATTTCTTTGTCAGTTTGTTCGTAAACCCTAGTAACTACTTTTTAATTGATACACATGCTTTGTTGATGCATGTCACTGTATGTACAGTAACCTGGAAAAGTTTCGGAACTCTTGGAATTACCAGGATGTCAGCATGAATGACTCCTAAAATATTAAATAATTATTATGATAATTTGTATATCATAATAATAAACACAGAGCTTTTTTAACATAAAGCATATATGCATATTTGCATTACTAGATCTAAAGTGAACAAAAGGCTGAAACAATAAAAAAATCAGAAAACATTACATTTTACATAGATGTTTAAGTAATATTACACATATTAAATACATTTTAAAGGCTAGTCCAGTGTTGTAAGCAGAAATAGTGTTTCTGTGCTTCAGAATCTTTCAGATTAAATATTTCTAAATCCAGTATCCAGTATACTGGACAGTGAAATCCATTAAAATGACTAAAAAACGAAATTATCCCCAAATTCATAGAACATGATCTACTGTCAACAGCGGCACTGAATGTGTTAAAGGAACAGTAGCGAAAGCAGTTAAATTGAGGTTGGAAAATAGTGAGGTAAAAATGAATTATGACTGTTTTTGGTATGCAAATTAACTCATAAGCGAACATCGGGGGGAGCTGGGGGGGGGATCAAATGCAAAAAAAAATATAGGATATGGGCTCTTAAATCATGTTACATCAAATGTATTTTTAGCATGCTGCACGTCATATACCAAACGCAGCGTGTTGCAATAAAGTCACAATACGGTAATCTGTCCGTATTGTGCAGCTCTATTATACTGCCTTATGAGATTTTTAATCTCTTTTCTCTCTCCACAGTGCTGCTGCGTGAGGAAGTGCTGTGTCTCCAGGAGGAAGTGGCTGAGCTGAAGCGGATGAAGGAGATGTTGAATAAGGAGCTGGAGGAGAGCGGGGGAGGCTGTTCTGCAGAGCTTCTCTCTGCTGCTGAGCTCCGAGTGCAGCTGTCCCAGAGGGAGCAGGAGCTGGACCGTGCCAAAGAGGCTCTACACGGTGAGTTCACATTCAGCTGACCCATCAAGGACCCCAAGGTTTGAACCTAACCTCAGATCTGACCCCAAATCACCTGAGCTCACATCATTCATAATTAGCCCGAGTGTCTGTAACCTCTAACCTCTCACCCCAAGTCTGTCCCTTTCACCCCTATCTCTCACCCTTACCTCAGACAGCACAAGGTGAATCTTCATTAACCCTGACACTGATACTGACCTTTACCCCTTATTATGCTGCACAGACCATGTGGTGGAGATTTTGAAGAGTAGCTGTATCTCATTTTGGGCCTAGAGCGATGTGTATATATTGCTGACCTTCCCTGGCCCTCACTGACCCTACTGCAGTAGAATTTGTAGAATTTGGATACAGCCTGTTTATTTTCATGCTTCTTAACAGATACCCAGAATAAAAGGATTTTTGTGAAATGGACAGGTCCAGTTGTGAAGTCTGAGTGCTTCAGTTACATTTAAACAACTGTGCAATATTCAGTGTCCACATACATTGTTAGGTTTGTAGACACCTGCTCGTCTGTTTCTTCTGAAATCTGCTTTTTTAGGAAGGCTTTACACTGGATGTTAGAACATTGCTGTGAGGATTTGACTGCATTCATCCTTAAGAGCATTAGTCAGGTCAAGTACTGATGTTGGATGATTAGCTCTGGATCATAAATGGCACTTCTACTCATTCAAAACTTACAGTATTGCTACTGGACTGTTACTGTTAATGAATTATTTATTACACATGGGTGTATTTAATCATGTTGTACCCTGTCAACACTGTGTTATACCAGCAATAATCCACTCAAGGCCCTGTGGTTCCGTAATTTTTACCACTGATTTTTTTACTCCATGTCATGCCTAACAATAACTCTAAACCATGATGCCTCTTTTAGTTTATTGCATTAAATGCTTTTATATTAATGTATCATTGGCAATACACTGAAAAACTTTGGCTTTATCATTTTCAATCCATTTAAATCTGCTCCCAAAGTAGGTTCAATGTCCACACTGGTCAAAAATGGTGCTTTTGGTTTTTTGGCCAAAAGAGAAAAGTGGCCAAACTTTTTTACTGAAAAAAGACTGAAGCAAAAGTCCTGTCAATGTCATCTGTAGCCACAATTTTTGGAAGTACAAAAAAAGCACAGGTGATATTGACAGTGTGCATAGCTAAAAATGAAAGCAATTCATTGCCTTGGATGACTAACCGTTCTCTGTTTTTGAGGATGTTGGATTTCATGTCACATACTGTCACTGTGTCCTGAATTTCATCATCACTACTATCAGCATGTGGAATTGGACCCTCAGTGTGCTAGCCATTGTAAAATCATACTCTTTACCTATCATAGTAAGCATGAGAACAGCATTGAGAAATTGCAACATTAAAGCAGAAGGCAGAAATAGATCATTTTGGCCTCAGAAATGAAGCTGACCATTAAATTGCTGCCATATGTACATTTATTTATGCTGGCATTTTACAGCCAACTTTATGGAGACACTTTCACTTAATCTCTGGCAGTGCAGCTTAACATGATTTCATCCCATCAACTGAATCTTATGCGCAATATCTGTCCTTGAGCCACTATCAGCTGTCTCATTTAAAAATAATAAAGAGTTGTGAACTCTTTCATCTGAGCTGTATAAAAGTCATTATTTATTACACAGAGAATGGCTCACTCAGAGCAGATTCAGAAAGCTGGTTGTCACAGTACAGTGTAAAATCATCCGAGGCGTGTTATGCATGTTCATTTGTTCTTATCAATGTATCAGAGTTTTGATCTGCTCCTGTCTCTTGCTGTGTTTTTTTTGTATGTGGAAGTCAATTTCCTCTGGAGAGAAATAAAGCTCTGTTCTGTAATTTCATATTCAGTCATGCACTGTATCTTCCCTGCATATCAGCGGGTGATGATGTTGCTGTTTATTTATTTTGTGTTTTGCTTCTGGCTGGTTGCACCTGTTAATGAGCAATGGTCTAGAATGATTATTTATATTTTATTTAACCCTCATTTCAACATGGAAGTCCCACTGAGACTAAAGTCTCTGAGAAGAAGCTCCATTTACAAACCACAAAACATGCATTCAGTTTCCCATTACCATTTCTAATGAGTGCTGTGCTGTTTTTAATTAAAGTATTAGATTCTGTTGTGTTTTGCTCGGAACACACACAAACACAAACCCATATGCCACACACTGTGGTAGTGTTTTTCATGGGAATGGCCATAATTTATACACCACAGTATGCTTTTCTGAACATATTGTGAAGATCATCGTTTCTTGAAGAACTGACGGTATTCACTACTTTGTAATAAAGCATGCAGTTAGTCAGTTAGTAAAGAACACTGACCAACTGCATGCTTTATTACAGAGAGAGCATAATTAGACGTTTTATTTGATGTAATGCAGTGTGTAAAATACTGAATACAAATCATTGTGTTCATAGAAGGGAGGGATCTTCTGTTCTTTATAATCTAAAGTCCAAATCAATTGGTCTTAGTACAGAAGGAAATAAGACAAAATAAATAAGCTCTCCAGACAAAGCAAATATATAGTAAAGAAATCACTTCAGATTTAGATATGATTTCTGTTTTTTCCAGTATTTTTTGTGGCTTATCTTGTTTGTTCCATGACATTTACTCCATGACAAAAAATTGAACAGTGTCCTACATATGTTTCATCAGTCATCTTCTGTTTACAACAGCCACTTATTTTGATCGAAAAAGGCCATTTGACTGACATGCAAAACAACCAGGAGTGTCATCATTGGGTGACGTGTAGGTGGTGACCTTTGTGAAACAAACTGGTCCATTGTCAGAGTATGCAGAGCAGGCAACTGCTTGCTATAGATTAACAGAAAGTCTTTAATTGCCTACGTTAGTTATTAAAACTGTATGGGTCCGGTTGCACCATATGACTTACTGGTTGTGCCACCTGACTTTTCAGACTAATTTCAAATTAAGCATGCATCTACTTAGAAACCCATAGAAACCTTTGTCCTTGAACTTGAGTTTATACTTACATTTTTTTCAATTAATAAACCCTGGCCCCTCTTTTTTAAAAGCATCTCAAAATGAAATTTTTTGGAGGGGCCGCATGACATTGAAGAAATAAGAACTTACAGACAAGTTTTTCAGTGAGTTGAGCACTTTTAATTATTGTGGCTTATTGTGCAACGTGGTCTTTATTTTAAAGTATCAAATATAAAATCATGCCAAACTATTTTATTAAAAATTTGATGTAACTAAATTGCTACATTTTAATAGTTTACCTTATCAACACATATGGTTGGACAGTTGCACCACCTAACATTTTTAGACTTTTGGAGGCAAAAAGAAACTAAAATGAATTTTATATGGATACATGGAAAATTGTTTCACATAGAGGAATTGCTGAATAATTTGATAAATGTCATGCATTTGTTACATTTGGGAAAATAATAGACTTGGACTCATAACAATGACCCATACACATGTGTGTGTGTGTATATATATATATTAAGGAGTCACTTGATTTTCCATATAACAATATCGCAATGAAAGCCCTCTGTTTTATTAAATTGGTGCTGTGAATACATTTCCTGTATGTGTCAGTAATCACTGTTTATTTACTGAACTAAACCGGTTCAGTAAAACAAAATTACTCGAAATGCCGCTCACGAGTTTTGTTGGTGTCTGATAGCAGAGCAGCTGGGCAGGGCTGAACTCTGTCTACAGTACATGCCTCCACTTCCTCTGCCAGGTGCTCCTGTGCGTGTGTGGGTGTGTGTGAGCACACGTCTGTGTGTGAGGGCCTTTGTGGCATGCTGGCTAGCGTTTTGCTTCCACATAATGAGTCTTTATTTGGGAAAAATGGCCAGAATGTCCTTGCATAATTTGCAAGTCAGACTAGCAGCTCCAAACGCCTTCTAAGAGCAACACTCAGTTAAAACCTCACTGACCACACTCTATAGGCCACAGAGAGAGAGAGAGAGAGACAGAGACAGACAGAGAGGGAGAGATAGGATAATGAGCTCCAAGAGCATCGTAATGGAACTGATTGATAGCATCTCTTATATATTCATGGCAACCATGTCAAACTGACTAGTCCATACAATGTTTCTATTTCCTCCATCAGTATGACTGTTTCTGTATTGAGGTTTCTCTCTATCTTTCTCTATATCATCCTCTGTCTTTCTCTCTTTCTCTCTTTATACCTCTCCTTCTCTCTCTCTCTCTCTCTCTCTCTCTCTCTCTCTCTCTCTCTCTTTCTCTCTCTCTCTCTTTCTGTAGCGATGAAGGCGGATCGTAAGCGACTGAAGTTGGAGAAAGCAGAGTTAGTGAATCAGATGCAGCAGCTCTATGCCACACTGGAGAGCCGTGAAGAACAACTCAGAGACTTCATCCGCAACTATGAACAGCACCGCAAAGTAAGACATACTCGCATCCAAACAGGCTAAAAACACCATTAATGCACTAGTAAATTAAAGGGCCCATATTCCATGTTTCTTGTCTTTTATCATTTTGCCTGAAGATCATTTACAAAGTCAATGTAGTTTTATGGCCCAAAACTACTCATAATTCATTTTACATGACCATTTTCAAACATCTCTATATTCCCTGGAATTAAACAGGCTGTTTTTTTATTGTTGTGCTTTTAAGACTGATATGTGAGGTAATTATATTCTGATCTCTGTTCTACTGCTGTGAATCAAAAAGCAGCCTGGGCTGAAATGTTGAGAATAAACTGTTAATTCTGAACTGAAATCCTCAGGGACACAACACTGCACTTCAGTCACTGCTTTTGAAATGTCCTGACAGCCTAAAATTGATTCATAATTTACAGCTGTGCACATGTTTTAATTGAAAGAAGTGGCATTACTGAGTCAGGACAAAAAAAAACGCTGAAATATTGTATACATATGCCACTTTGGGTCTTGCTGTGATGCCTGAAATAGTCATTTAAAAGCCAGGCGTGTTGGGTCGGATGCCGTGGAATGACCTCGTCATGCATCTTAACATAGTAAAATCACATGCACAAAAAATGTCCAGTTCAATGTTTAAGTCTCAAATGCAAAATCAACATGAACTGATGAAGATAAGATGACAATAGTACATAATTCACCTACATCTTTGGGAATTACGTCTTTCAGTAAGTTTTGACTGAGTTCTCGTTGAATACTCTTTTAATAGGCCCCTCTGGTCGGGGAAGGGGACCGAAGCACAACATTGTGATATTACAAAATGTTCTTCTGCATGTGCAGTTACACATTTCCACCAGAGGGGTCTTCAAATAGCCCAAATCTTACATAATTCCTCACAATGTCCACTCCAATAACTCTACTTCAGACTATCTGCAGTAACAAGCAATCTTCTTATCACTTTGACGTTAATGGGCTGGTTAAACTGCTATAGGCTGTAGGACTGATCATATATAAATGCATTCATAGTTGTGACATCACAACCAATATGAAGCTGTTTTTGCAGCTTAATTTCCATGGATGAATTTTTTTGAAACTTCGACATAGTTAACAAACTCATCTCAAATAAAAAAACACCCACGTCCACAAAGCTTTCAAACAGACAAAAGGCAGCATTAAAACATCTGCTTGGGTGGGCTTTTGAAAAGAATATATATCAAAAAGAATACTTAGGAAAAAAAATGATTTGGCTTCATCGGTAACAGGTATATCTGTCTGTGTGTGTGTGTGTGTGTGGAACAGGAGAGTGAGGATGCAGTAAAGGTGTTGGCTAAAGAGAAGGACCTGCTGGAGAGAGAGAAGTGGGATCTGCGGCGTCAAACTAAAGAAGCCACAGAGCTCGCTACTGCACTACGCTCCGCACAGGACCTGAAGGAGAACAGAATCAAAGAGCTGGAGGCCGAACTGACAATGGTAAGACACACATACACATTCAGAGTTTTTCTGACAGAAGGACCCCAAAATATTACAGTTTTCTTGTCTGCTGAATTGAATGGCTGAGTGTGTTTATACTGTTTCTAGTGGGCTCTTAGAATCTCGTAAATATTTACATGACTTTCAGAATTTCTTATTAGGTATGTCCCCCTTTAGTTCTTTTTTACACTGTGTCCACTCACTGTCCACTCTATTAGACACAGCTACCTCATCTGTTTATCTGTTGCTGCACAGTTTGTGCTAATAATCCTCTAGTTCTTCATCAGTGGTCACAGGACGCTGCACACAGGACACTGTTGGCTGGATATTTTTGGTTGGTGGACTATTCTCAGTCCAGCAGTGACACTGTGTTTAAAAACTCCTGATCCACTTGTACCAGCGCAACACACACTAACACACCACCACCACCACATCAGTGTCACTGCAGTGCTGAGAATGATCCACCACCCAAATAATACCTGCTCTGTGGTGGTCCTGTGGGGGTTCTGACCATTAAAGAACAGGGTGGAAGGGGGATAACAAAGTATGCAGAGAGACAGATGGACTACAGTCTGTAATTGTAGAACGACAGTATGCACATATATGGTAAGTAGAGATACAAAAAGGTGTACTTAATGAAATGGCCGGTCGGTTGCTTGTTTTATATCATTATATCACTATTAAAGTTATCTGCTTACGGTTCAGTGTAGTGTGTGTGTGCTTGTGTGTAACTCTAGGGTGTGGAGAGTTTCGAGTGTGTTACTATACACACCCTCAAACAGTAAGTGTGTAGCTCAGACGCTGGAGCGCTGGTGTGTATGTGTGTGTGCCTCTTTAACAGATGAGTAACTATGTGGCCCAGAAACTCGAGTGTCAGCTGTTCGTTCGAGATCCAGAAAAGCCAGTCTCCCCCAGAAATATGTCGGTAAGATCAGCCAGGCCTGCCAGTCAAGACAAACTCCCACTCTGATTGGCCAACAGTGTCCCCGCCCCCTCTGTTGTGTGCGTTCAGAGTTAGCGGATGTGATCTGATTGGCTGCACGTCTGTAAACTCTTTGAACCAGCCAACATACAGTAGAACAAATCTGCATATGTGGCTGGAGGCATGGGAAATAGCTTTTTATTTATCTGTGTTTATGTGTGTTAGACATGTGCTGCTAACCAGATTCATGCTCTGTATCACTGTAAAGCAACAGCAAGTCAACCCTCTTAACCCTTAGAAGATGAGTTATTATAGTCAGTTAATAAAGTGATTATGATATGATATTAATCCTCTTCTATGTACAAATATGGTACTGATTCAAAGTTATCGATTGAAGACTTCTGTGAGTTTCTATGAAGGAGATTTCTTTGTTTATATGAGTGATAAAGAAATGCTTTTATCATCAACAATAACTGTGACTTCTAAGGGTTAACACATCAGTTCTGTAGAAAATACAGTCTGTACATGTTGTTTATTTTGCATCATGTAGAACAAATAATGTCTGTCATTACTTCAAGCCTTTCAAATTTGTTATTCTACATTGATTCTGAACACAGTGCTACACTCCTAAAAAATAAATGGTGCCAGAAAGAGTTCTCTGCGCAATGCCATAGAAGAACTACTTTCAGTTCCCTAAAGCAGTGGTTTTCAAACCAGTGCTCAGGGCCCCCCAAACAGTCCACATTTTTGCCTTATCCATATATGTTTGGAGTTGAAATTGAGCAGAACTGGACTGTCTGGGGGGCCCTGTGGACTGGTGTAAGAACCACGGCCCTGAAGAACCATAAAGAGATGTATGGGCGCAAAAAATATAAAGGTTAAAGAACATCACGTAATGTAAGTGTTCTCTATCGGTTAAAAGCTTCTTCGTTGAATCTTGAATCTTTACATTCTGTGGAAGTTCATTACATTTTAAAAAGGTTCTTCACACTCACACATTGTATTTACTAACATGATTCTCTAAAGAACCATACATTGGCTTATTTTTAAAGGAAGCAAAAGTGGTTCTTTGACTGCATTGTACAAATAACCCATTTTGGCCCCTTTATTTTTTAGAGTGAAGATCAAATATCTGAATCTGGGATTTTAAGCAGATATGTCTCCTTAATTTCACTGGAATCGATGCAGTTAATCTTTAGAAAAACAAGAGGGTGCATATCTGATAAAATGGAGTGCCAGTCCAAAATGTGATCACTTCAGTGCACAAAAGAAGTATTTTTCTTCAGATTGTCTTTGCTGCATCTGTTCTAGCTGTTGTTCTCTCTGTCTTTCTCCATCTACTTTGAGATCTACAGAAGACAAAGAGTGTAACAGTGTGCACTAAGATCATTTTGGCTCAAATGACTGCACGAAGAAAACTTGTGAATTTTTCACTATAGCACATGCCTTGTAGTTTGCAAAGTGATATTTTGGCAAGTGAAAAGATCTTAAATGAATATATATATCTAACAGTTCTTATTCTGAGATTATTGTGAAATTGTTAGAAGTTAAATTTTCCTGATATTATTGTTTAAAATAAGTAAGTCTTTATATAGGCTGAGTAATCGTTTCGTAATTGAAGAATAATCCTGTAATAAGAAATGTTAAATGTACTGTACTGTGCAAAAAGCCACCTTTCATTTATTTAATTTCCAGTCAAAACAGCTATGACGTTTTTCATTGTGAGGAAAAAACAGAGCATTACACAGAAGTTTCAACAGCTAAATATAGTGTGATTTGTTCAGTATTCGCTTTTTGCTTATATTACCGCGTCTATTCTTTTCGGTAGACTTGCTTTCAGTTTTTCAAAGAAATCTGCAGGAATATTTTTCCCACATCTTTCCTAATAACAGCTTCTTGACATCTTCCACACTCATAGTGTTGAGCTGTCTTCCCACAGTGGAAGGATGGACAGAAACACCTGTGGATTTTTCAAATTTTAAGCAAGGGTGGAGCTTGATTTTCTCATCATCTCTCAAAGATGAAGGCTTTAAGTACTGTTTATCTGGTGATGTCTGTTTTGGTGGACTACCAGGTCTTGCACAGTTGTTAGGAGTCCCATTTTCTCGGTATGTTCTAATAATTTTTTCAACTCTGGTTTTGGAAACTCCTGTTTTTCACTTATTTTACTTTAACGTTCCCTTTCCTTGTGCATGCGGTTTATTTTATGTCTGATCTCCTCAAAAATATCTCCTGAAAAATGAATCTCTGTTATTTATTAGCCATTTTGACTGGAAATTAAATAAATGAAGGAATTATCTGATTTTTGCACTGTACTGAATTACTAACATTCAAGATCTTTTCGCTTGCCGTCATATCATTGTTTGTAGTCTAATGTATGCGTGTTTGTGTGTATATGTATGTATGTATGTGAGATTACAGTGGATAGCACTGAGAATCTCCATAATTCTGTATGTGGTAGTTGTTTGATGCCTGCTGCCTGACCTGACTGTAGACTGAAATTGATTAAAGTACAGGTGCAAAGGAAGTTAGGTAGGTGTGTGTTTTCTCAGGCAAGTATTTTGGAGAAGCAGTGTGACTGACATGTTAAATCATAAATCTGCTTTTCAATAAACATTCCATCCCAAACGCCTACATAGTCTACAACATCCTATGCATTCTGATGTGCTCTATTTAGAAGGCAAACATATTATATTTATGTCTCTTAGTGGCAGTGAACCTTCCTGGCTAATTCTTTCCATTTATCCGGTAAGGGCTAGTCTGAGGTGTTGCCCCAAGAGGGGTTATTCCTAGTTATCTTGTAAATATTTCATGTAACACCCACTCAAAAAATGGAAAAGTAGTTAAATAAGAGCTGAAAAAAAGATTGCACCTATACTTTAATTCATGATCCTTTTAATATGTTGTATTGCAACTGACAGTTGTTGATGTTTGTCTTAAATACAATTTTTTTTTCAGCGCTACACATCTACATAGTACCTTTCACACAAACACATGCATATACACATGGGTGACAAATTAAAGGACAAACCCATATAAAGTGTCTTAATAAGATGCTGGGCCACCAGAACAGCTTCAGTACACCTTGGCCTAGGTTCTAGAAATCTCTGGAACTGTTCTGAAAGGAAAGAACACCATTCTTCTAAAAGATATTCCCTCAGTTGATGTTTTGATGATGGTTGTGGCGAGTGCTGTCTAACATGTCTGACCAAAATCTCCCATATGTGTTCAGTTTGGTTGCGATCTGGTGACTGTGAAGGCCATAGATTATGATTTACATAATTTTCATACTCAGCAAACCATTCAGTGGCCTCTCGTGCCCTGTGGATGAAGGTATTGTTATCCTACAAGAGACCACTTCCATCCATGTTTCATCATAGGATAAAAGGGGATAAGGTGCCCAAGTGAACCCACACCATGCCAGCATTGCAGGGCCACTGAACCCCTTAGCTGTAGGGGTCAAGCACTGAGGCTTGTTCTCTGTTCTATACTATTCTCTTGGTGTATGCCACGCATGCGCTCGCCCACTTGTGGAGAACATGGTGAAGGATGGCTTGTCTGACCTATAGACCAGCGCCTATGAATTTTAGACAAGACAGAACTCTTAAATTTGCATTTGTCTTTGTAATGAGGGGTTTATGAACTGCAACCCTGCTGTAATATCAGTAATATAATACCTGCTGTTGTTGATAGACTGTTCTTGGTGACACAGTCTGATCACATCCTGTGTTCACATTCTCATCACCTGAGAAACAGTTGCTCTTTTGTTTTTCCTTACATGTCGTACAAATGCACAAGCATTATAGTTGTAAAATGTGCGCTTTCAACCACAATTTCCATCCCTGTTTACTGATGTCTTTCCTTAAGATGTAAAAGCAGATGTCACCTTAGTAACTGTTCCTATAGAAACACCAGCCAGTTGAACAGTGAAGCCCCTGCGATCCATGCCCCAATAATGAACCCTTTTTCTAAGTCACTTAGATCTTTCCCTCTTGCTGTCTCGATTCAAAATCGAGGTTAACTAGGCCAGCTCAGCGTTTTTATGTATTCCACAGAGCATGGTAGGATGTTAATTGCTTAATTGTATCATGCAGTACACCTGTCTGGAAGCATCTGCACTCATCATGTTTCTCCACTCATTTATTCAGGTTTTTTCTTTAATTTGTCTCCCGTGTATTCCTGCAGACACACATTTATGCGCTCATGGTTGTTTAGACATCTTACAGATGGCTTCAGTTTTTTTTTCGATCTCACCCTCTTACTCATTTATGATAAAATGCCTTTGTTTGTGTGCATGTTTGTGTTGCAGGCTAAGCAGTCTTTGGCTACGCTCACTAAAGATGTTCCTAAGCGCCACTCTTTGGCCATGCCCACAGAGGCCGTCGTCAATGGCAACCAGGAGTGGGTGATGCATGCAGAGCTGCCTCTAACAGCAGCCATACGCCAGAGTCAACACAGCCTGTACCACACACTCGACAGACAGGGTACACACACACACACACACACGCACATTCCACTCTTCAAGGGAAATTCTACCGATTTCTCTAAATATCTGCATAATTCAAAGTAGTTTGATGTAAAACGAGCCATTCTAGAGAAACTAGAGTCTGTATTGTTCGTAGTGGTGGTGTCGAAGTTTTATGCCTTTAAACGCTACCTCACATTAAGTCATTACACAAAATGGTTATCAGTGTTGCCTGATGCCTGATACCTGATACATTGTTGTATGATAGCTTTGCGATAAGGTTTTGGCTTGAAAAATACATTCACAGTGGAGAAGTGCACACAGGGCACTATGGGGCAAAATAATACCCAAGGAAACTTTTATTTAAGATTTAGCACCATTTTACCATTATCAAGATTATGTATAAAACCTCAGACTCCAATGGGGCTCGCTCGGGTCCTTCTGATTTCTGTAAAATAAAAAAACGTCTGTAATTTCTAGTTCATCTTTATTTAATATAATCATCATGTTTACTGTATTTAAACCTGTAAATATTGTAGTAATACTGTTATTATATTATTAAATTATGATGGGAAACAAGGGTTTAAATTCTTAAAACTCCCGACAGAAAATGTCCAAAACAGAACTAATTTTCTCTGGTATGTATGTAGACACATTGTTTATGACTTCAGGAGCTGAACAGAAGGTCTAACTTGTCTGATTAACCACAGACATAATACGGAACTAACAACAGAATCAACCAGTCATGTTTTGATTTCCAATTGTTGGGGACAGTTTTGTTCCAGTGGTGAACAGATAAACAGTGCATTTCAGTCATACATTAAAAAATGAAAAACTGTGGCAGCGCTGTGGCAGGACTCTTTACTGACAGAGTCACTGTAAAGATGCTACAAGAATATATGCTAATTTGTCTGTTACAAGCTTCAAATAAACATGATATGTCTTTTATGAGCTTCAAATATCTGTGTTTAATCAATAAGGGCCCAAAATGTTAACGCTTAATGCTGGCATACTACTCGAATTCCATAGGGGCTCTAGCAGAAATTAGCATTATTATAGAGGTGTGGCCCAATTTTAGGCCCAAAACTAAAGACTAAACTCTTTTGCCAAATCTTGTATAATCTAGAAAATATATAATAAATGTTCTATCCTTTGTATACCCTGCTTTTCATTTATCTGCCTCAGACTAAATGTACATGCCATAGCTTGTATTTCATAAGCTATATTGCTGTTACAAAACTGTGCATTGGGAATGGTGCAGTACTGGTGTATACTAATGTGTATATTAGATTCTGAAGTGTGTGTATACATACATATATATATATATATATATATATATATATATATATATATATATATATATTGGTATTTAAGTACTACAAGGGGGCTACGCACCTAAGATTTTCATTCACCTTCGCCCCTGTGTTAATGTGATGTGACAATAAACATGTTTTGATTTTATAGTCAGTTTAGTGCTGGAAGATTTGATAGGTTTGCTGGTCATTTTGGGAAGAAAATCAATTGGCTATATATGTGTTGTAGACATTATGGCCCCTTGTTTCTATCACTACCTCTACAAATAAATCAGAGTCTATACGTTTTTCTACAATGCACCGTTCATATCAGACCACTTTAAATGACTTTGTTTACATCTCAACAATTGACTAATGCAGAAATTTTGAAAACTCAGTGGAGTTTCCCTTTAAGTCAACACCACCTGTAACTTGTTGAAGAGGTTAGACACACAATCACACAAACATTTAGCAGAGTCAACACAGCCTGAATTATCCACTCAGGCTAAGTACACACACAGACACAAACACACCGCTTGTCATGCAGGTGACAGGAACACGTACACATGTGCAGTTCCACTGCTGTATGTGTTTATGTGTGCAGTCTGCTCATATTTACATATGCAGCAGTATGAGGTTCATTGCAGGATGAACCTTAAAGTATTTTTGCCAAGCAGGATTCTGTTTTATGGTATAATGAGCTTGTGTGTTTTGTGTGTGCTTCAGTGTTAAAGGCCGCGCCCCCGTGTGTGTGTGACGTTGATGGAGTGTGTGTGGCGCACTCCTCAGGCAGTCTGCGTCTCAGCCCCTGTCACTCACGGCAACCTTCACTTCTGTCAGACGCCTCGGCACTGGAGGGAGAGCGATCATCCACACCATCTGAGCTTAACTCACCACGACACAGAACACACTCGCTCTGCAACGTGAGAACACACACATACGCTCAACACAGTCCTTTTACATTGTCAGGACCCTTAGTCATATTTGTCTTGCTGCATATTTCACTGCTATTGCACTGCAATTGGAATGTCTTATAGGGATTTGGGCTTTTGGCTTCATTTCATTAGTAAGACAAAGAAAGATGCTGGGCATGTGGACCATATTTCAAGTGGTCACACATTTCATAATTACATAAGTTACATATTAGTTTCATAGTAGCAATTAAACTGCATCAATTTTTGTAATGGTAGAACCAATATTAATTAATTATAGTAATATTCAATTAAATTAATTACAAACAGTTCCAAAAAGGTTCGAGCAGTATGCAAAATGCCAAGAAAAACAGAAAGCAATGATTAGTAAACACTGTTTGACCTATATTAAACTGAAAACAGTACAAAAACACAATATTCAATGTTTTACCTTAAGAACTTTGTTTTTTTATAAACGTACACTCATTCTAAACTTTATGCCGGTTTACCACTGTTACATCACCTAGAACCCCTACACATCTTTCAGTGTTAATGGTGTTTTCACAGATATGCAAGTTACCTACTAATACCCCCCATACCATGACACCCCCCCGACTTTGGAACTTTAGGCTGGTAACAATTTTTCTGAATCCTTTTCCTGAATCCTTTGATGATATAATGCACCGTAGTGTGTACAATACCTAAAATCCTTGCGAATGCTGGTTAAGGAATGTTGTTTTTAAACAACTGCACTATTTGCTGATGCATTTTTTGCAAAATGTGATTCACCCATTCTTGGTCATAAAGGACTCAGCCTTTCCTGGATGCTCCTTTTATACCCAAACATGATTACATCACCTTTTTTTAAGATATTTTCTGAACATTTAACAATGAGTGCATTTTGATGCACTCAGTAATCCGATCGTAATCAGATTTCTGCAGTTATCCGATTTCCGATTATTCATGTGAACACCATACTCCGATCCAAAAATCTGATTAAGAAATCAGATAAGGAGAGCTGGATTTTAGCTCAGTAATCAAATTTCTCAGTGTATATATACTCTTACTCTGATTTCTTTTGGATTTCTCACTCTGCCCACATGCGGAACAGACTGCTGTAGCGGACAATAAGCAAGTAGCGTTGTGACACTGAAACCCTTCCTTTTCTGAAATTGCCCCTGCCCCAACTTTTTTGGAACACGTTGCAGGTTTCAATTTCAGATTGAGCGTATATTTGCAAAAACAATGAAGTTGATAAGGTAAAGCATTAAATATCTTCTCTTTGTACTTTTTTGTTTATATACAGGTCAAAGTAGATTTACAAGTAACTGCTTTCTGTTTTTATTTGCGTTTGACATACTGTGCTAACTTTTTTGGAATTGGGTTTGTAAAAGTAAAGTAGGGAGATCTGGCAAATGTGGGTGTGAAATCGTGATGACTAAATTGAAAGAAATTTGGTAAAAATCCAAAACAACAAACTGTATATTGTTTTTATTATAAGTATTATATAAATCGTAACTCTGGTCAAATAGGGATCTTCAGGTTAAACAAAATGTCTGAATTATATCAAAACATTCAACTTAAATCACAGAAAATCAGATAAAATCATTAAGCACATCACAGTGAAATCTGAGATTTCATTGAATCTTTTTTTTAAGAATCGTAAATAAATTGTGAAGTCAGAGATTTACACCCCTAGTAGTTACTGAAATTTTTTATTAGCTGAATGCTAAGACTTAATATATATACTTGAGTCATTGCATTTTACTATTATACTATAGTATTATTTCAAAATATTTGTTCACATATTACTAAAATTAAATGCTTGTACTTTTACTCAAATTTCCAAGAGAAGTTCTTGTGCATTTGAATTTATTGTATTTGAATTTATTGTTCTTATTAAAACATCCAACCAAATTCATACCTGGGTAAAATATTACTGCACACAGCTTTGCTAATTTGCTAACGTGCAAGGACTAGTCACTGCACCACATCTCACACCACCAGATAAAGCCTGCGACCGAAATGAATCTCTACTCCCTCATTAGAATTGTGCTATATACTGGCAATCTATTTCATTTAATAAGTAGTGATAAAAATGCATGAATTTATAAATTATTTCAGATTATTTTCTTGCTTCAGTATTCACCAGCTGCATAAACATGCCAACATTAATTTTCTTGAGCAAGGATGAAGTTGGCTTTTTATTCATGGCCCTAGACATGGCAATAAAGTTCTGAAAAGTGCAGTGGTGGAGGAGAAATAAAAAATTGACTAGGCTACACATTCTTGGTCCACAATTACAGTCATCTACAACAGTTACCATTCAGTGTTTCTCCTACATGTTGAGTGGCAGGTGTAAATGGATTGAAGTCTTTGTTTTTGCATGTACAGCGCTGCTTTTTTACAGTGTTAACTTCAGAGAATGAAGAGAATCTGTGACTCACTGGCCGCTATTAACGTAATATCATAGTGCCCTAAAGCACAATTAGGGATCCATTTCGCAGCCAAAGAAAATGTGCACGTTAACATAAGTACAGTTTCTATGTACTTTTTCCTTGTCTGGTCTAAGGTTAAGGTTAATAATAGAACGATAAGCCTACGATTTAAGTGGTTTAAAGCTCAGTCAGCTCTTCTCTGATCTGCCGTTTTCTGTGGCTGCAGTCTTTAGAGGACCTGGAGGACCAGAAAAGGAGGAAGAAGAAGGAGAAGATGGGCCTGGGTTCGCTGTCCCGCGTCTTTGCCCGAGGAAAGCAGAGGAAGTCTCTGGATCCCGGCCTGTTCGACGGTACCAACACACCTGACTACTACATAGAGGAAGACGCTGACTGGTGATGCAGCCAGACAGCCTCTCTGACCTGTGTGTGTGAGCAAGAGCGCGACAGACTGAGTGTGAGAGAGTGAGAGAAAGAGTGGGTGTCAGGTTGAGCCTCAGAGGAGTAGGTGTTTGCTCCGTGTGTTGCTGTTGACTACAAGAGCACAAGTTAACTGATAAGGCGAGTCCTGCACTGCAGGGCGATCCTCAGTGGATTTGGATCTGTCACGCCGTGAACCGCAGCACATCTCCTAACCTTCTCATCCCCCTTTACACTGACACTTACTATACTTGCTCTGGAAACTTGAAGGACTGCTGGATTTGTAAATAACAAACCCATTGTGGTACACATCTGTGCTTGTAAATTGTCTGTTGTCCTAAATGCCTTTTGTTTAATTAATTTAACCATATCTGTTGTCCTGTGTGGGTCATTGGCTAGGTCTGACCATGTTAGTAGAGTTCTCCCTGCTGGGAAGTGGCAGGCTGCACGGAGCCAGACAGGCATAAAAGATTTAGAGCCTCTCAATAACATGCAAACACAGCCCTCAACAGTAACACAACTCTGAACATCTTAACCCCTTAAACTCCTGAATTAGCATTCAGTTATTAATCTTAAGGCTTATTAAGGCTTATTATTCAGTAACTACTGCATAAACAAAACAACATTAATGTATAAACAGCAGAACATGAGATGGAGTATTTAAAGCAAGTATGCAAGTTTGGAATCACTTGTCATATAATATTTATTCGTGATTTGCAATGTGCAGCACTATTGTTATTCATCATATATAATTCTTCTTATCGTTATTATTTTTCTGCTGGATTTTTGTCCTCTAACCTTTTTCCCTTGATATGGACACCATTCTAACTCCGGAGTGTTCGTCAGGCGGAATGGCAGGCTTAGTATGTGGTCAAAAGTACCTCACTTATATCATGACAATAAAAGTACTCTAGCCACACCCTATTAACTATGTGGGATACCATAGTAACCCCCTAGCAGCACCCTAGCAACCACCTGGAATACAATAGCAAACACCTAGCAACACACTAGCAACCACCCAGGATACCATAGCAACCATCTAGCAACACTCTAGTAACCACCAAAATTATCATATCAAAGTTCAAGTGTAAGTTCATTCTGGATGCTGCACAGCTTTCTCCTTTATTATGAAATCATCTACAGCTCATTTCAATATTAATGTTTACAGCGTGCTACAAATTGTTTAAAACCCATAGAATATTTAATATTAGCCGATTAGAAACTTTTTACAAATATATCTGCGACAAAATCAGTTTTACTTTATTAAAAATATTTGAACAGTAGTGTGTTTTAATGATTTACTGATTTCTTCCACTTAGTAAAGTATATCCAGCAGCTCAACCATTCGACCATTGTTGTAATTTAGTAACCATTGTTCATCAGAATAATATGAAAAAAAAAATGCTGTTGTCAAATATAATAACTAGGGAAGCACAAATATGGTAATTTTGGGCCAGTGCTGACATCCAGCATTTTTCATGTACATATCTGCTGATGCTGATTCATAAACATGTACAACAAGTAGAAATTAGGACTAGAAACACTTTGATGAGCATTACAGAGAAAGATAACAGTCATTTCTGTAGGGTTGCACATACAGTACAGTCTGCCAATATTAATATGATTCCAATATCATCATTTATCCCTATTAATAACACAGGTAGAACATTTTACAACCATTCAGACAGTGTGGTCAGAGTTGTACAGTCCTCAGTGATGTATGAAACTGCCATGTATGGTTTGCTCTTATGATACTGAGGAATTAAAATCAACCACATTTCAAAACAAAAGTTTTTGCTACAGAAGTTTTGTCAGTGTTTGCTATAGAAACAGTAGTCAGTGTGAGTTTACTGGCTGAGATTGCCTGCCATGCCAACAGGAGCGCTCTGAACTGCCGCTAAAACACTTACACTTGGACAGGAGGTTTCCCTTGAACGCTGATCCAGGACCAGCTTTGCTGCACAAATAACCTTCATGTCCTTTCTGCACAATTACAAATCTGGTCTGAGGTCGGTAGCTAAGGGAAGCTTCCATTCTCCTCTGCCTGCATACGGAGGGGTGTCATGGAAACCGTTGTCCTTACTGCTTTGCAGATGAGGTAGAATTGCCTGTCTTTAACAAAGCCCCACATCTCAGAACTTGTGACCACAGTTTCTATTTCTTTGCCCTTTTTTTTAAAACAGAAGTTCTTTTTTGATTCCATGTTTAAACGTGTAAATGTGAATACAGTACTGATTGAACTGTCAGTGGAAGAGTCAGGTAGTTTTGAATAGTGAAGAACCTCTGTATGGCCTGTCTGGGATTAGCTACATGTTAGAGATCTGAATGGCATGGAAACAAATGTTAAAGTTATTGATAAATAAAGTATTTTGAAATAAATTCAGTGCCACAAGTGGAAGAGGCTGAGAGCACTTTGCATGTGTGTGGTCTGGTGTGAAAGCTCTGCACCTCCCCGAGCTGTCGGCAGCTATGTTGTCTCCTTTAGAGGTGAAAATTAGCTGCCATCAGTTAGTGGAGTCTCTGTGTGACTAACTGTAACTCTTGACCTCCTGAACACCTCTAATACTCTGACACAAGTGATGGTAATGCTGTGTACATTTCTGTTGTGTTTGTGTGATACTCACCAATCCAAGAAGCTAAAAAGCTGGAATGCACAGTGATGGTGATCATCCTCGGCATCTTCACACCCAGTGAACACACTGATGTCATCTTTCATCAGGTAGTTTTTTCAGAGATTAGCAAAAAATTCCACATTCCAGTTCAAATTCCAAAGGTGTTACATACATATCAAAACATGCATCTCCAGAATAGTAACTTTTCAAGAGAAGGCAAAAACATTCTTAGCTTTTAATATAAGTTTGCGAGTTTGGACCACGTCTTCAACGTATGGTGGTAGTATGAGAGGGGGTCGTGATTCTAGGAGGGAAGAGAACTCTGAGAACTTGGTCTGGGGTTTTGGTCAGCTTCTGCTTTGAGCTAGAAGGCTGGACCCGCACCTCCCACCCCCCACCTTCATGAATGGAAGTAGCACTGACAGAACTGAGGAGCAGGGAGAAGATAAGATGGTGTTTGGGTATAAAAGCTTTGTCACAGGACATTTTTATGATATTAGATTGGAAGAAGGAGGGGCTTCAGGCATAGAGTCCTCCCTCCAAACAGTTATTCTCCTTTTAATGAAAAGATCTTTTATTCCAAGTTATTTCAAAGCATTTCTATTGCTCTGCTGCATTCACACGGTGTAGAAAAAACAAACCAACTAAAATCTAATAGAGATAAATGTTTGTTTTATTTTGTTTCTAATGCGGGCAAGGGAGGGGCCAGCTGTGACATTATGCAGTTATATATTAACCGATAAAGATCAAATTCAGCCACGAAGTATACGTCTGCAAAAGGTTAGAGTCAGCACACAACCTCCATGAGTCTTCAGGGTAGTATGTAGTAGCTGCACAAGGATGTCTAGAATAACTTTCTAGAGATTAAAAAGGGAGCAGAGGAGGAACATATTCATTGCTGTACAAGAAGTCACTTTGAATACCTCTGTGAGCTCATGTCACATTACCCTTGGTAGGGTACCATACTGTGATACTGTCAGGCCCAGCTTTTTAGAGAGAACTGATGGACCAGAAGTGGGGAAATAATACATTTATACTGCCATCTGCTGGTGGCATTACGTAGGTTCACCCTCAGAAACCACTTGGGGTGCAGTTTTCTCTTAGTCCTAAAGGGGGAAACTCAGATTTTTCTGAATATACGCATAATTCAACAATTGAGATGGAAACAGAGTCATTCGATGTGTTTTGATGTGAAATGGTGCATTTGTGGATAAACTTATTGACTCAAATTTTCTTCATGGTGAGGTGGAAGGAACCAGAGTCTATAAATTTTATTTATATTATTTATTTTATTCACTATCCCGAACAACCTACACGTGTCTTCTGTGGTTTTATGTGAGATGTTGATAGTGGTAAAATGTGCAAAAGTGGTCTAGCTTTCTTTGGGGGCTGCTTTGTCTTTCAACGCCTGAATGTACCTCTCCACCTTGAATGGATTTAGGCCTTAGGCCAACACCTCATTTCAGAACTGTCATAAAACAAAGTCTCAGGTGCCAGGCAGCATGTTTTAGTTTGGTTTGTATTACTATTTCTGTAAATAATTCATGACTAGGTTTAAATAGAAGAGTATTTCACATCAAACCACTCTAAGTGACTTCGTTTATATCTTAAGCAGACATTTCCAAATATCAGTGGAATTAAAGAGCCCATATCATGGAAAACCAAATATTTGTTGATTTTTTCAGATAAAAGAGTTTGAAGTAGTATGTAAACATTGTTGAAGCTTCAAAATATGCCATTCATTCTCCAGACTGTGTGATCCATATATGGACATTAAGCTGTGGCCTGTTTTGAATACATTGTTTTTGTGATGCCATAAACCATACTAATATATCTTCAGCCTACATATAACCTATTCCACCTATTCACACTGAAGTTATAAGGAGTGTTTCAGTCCTTCATCCATTAGAATTAGACAGCCTATTTGTTTACATGGGATAAAGAGATGGCGGAAAATTGTCATTGAAATGAATTATGAGTGGTTTTGTACATATTCCTACACAAACACCATAAACAGCATATGCACCCTCTTTATTTTAACCATTAACCGTAAGCATGTGGATGGAAGTGATACTAGCGCTACTAGCGGTAGTAACTCTGGTATTAAACCCAGCCCAGGAAATGCATGTAGTTATATACAGTTCAGTAGGATTCAGACCAGAGTTACACCCTAAAGGTCTCTTGCAAACAGCCCTGCCTTTTCTCCCTACATCCACCAATCCAGACTCAGACAGTCTCTCGAGCCCCGCCCGTCTGAGTGTGAGCCTATCAGATTGTGAGGAGCAGCTGGACAGACTGCAGCAGGTGGAGCTGGCGCGGACGGTGCCCATGTCCCGGTGGCGAGCGGGCACTGTGCAGGCCTGGCTTGAGGTCATCATGGCCATGCCCATGTACATCCGCGCCTGTGCAGACAACATCAAGAGCGGCAAGGTCAGAGAACACACCAGAACAGCTACAGCGCACACTGTAAAGAAAACATACCGTATAAACTATAACTAACTTACACTATACTAGTCCAACGTTATATGTAGGCTTACTGTATTATGAAAACAGAACAGTATGCACTGCACTCCATATAATATACAATATAATGCGGTTATACGTTTGTGAAATATACATAGCAGATGGCCATATTAACAGAAACGCTGATAATTTGTGGCCTATTCTACTTTTTTACAGTATAAAAATGCTATACAATATATGCTATGCACTGCACAATATATTATACAGTAATATGGTTATTTATTAGAGCTTAGAGTGAAATCTGGAAAAGATTATGACATATGACACAATACAACATGTATGCATGTGCTGTGGTGGACATAACAGACCTAAAAATATCCAAATATTAAGTACGTTATAAGGAGCAGGGCCACCCTTTGCATTTAGGCCAGTTTCAGTACTGAATGAGAACGCTCTCACAGAAGTTTTGATGGGATGAAGGAGGTGAAAATGTAGTTCACATGTTTAAATCTGGTGACTGCGGAGGCCATGGAAGTAATTTGGTTTCATCAAAAACACATTTGGATGGGGCCATCGTGAGGGAGCAGGGTCCATACCATATGCTGCACTTGCTTCTGTAAAATGGTCTCATATAGAGTCATACAGAGCAATCATAAGATCTAATCATGAAATTAAGTCATATTTTAGTATGATTTCACTACATGTTCAGTATGTCAAAGAGGTGGCCACAAGCATTGTGGGTTGACGGCATCCTTTAGCATTCTCTAAATATAACGGAATGGCTTTGTTGCAAAACACATTATAGACCACTTTCAAGGCTTTTTTTTCATTATATATGTTGTTATATACTTCACACACACAACAAATATCAATGGTATATTATGATTGATGCCACCTTTATTGGAGAAGCAAAAATGTGTTTTCCATTACATGTCAGCTGTTATTTTTTTTTGAGAACTCATTATGTCCAAAATTATTCCAAATGGATATACAGCATTTTGGAATTAAACTCTTCGACTGCAAATGTAGACAAAGGGTGGAAGAAGATGCATCAGACTATATCACTAGTTTTCCATTACTCAGGTTATGTTTAGCAATGATCCTGTCTGTTAAGAGATTTGCTTTCACTTAATGAGCTTTTGATTGTGTCTGATGTTCATTATTGCCGATGTTGTTTGTCTGTGTTTACACTGCCATGATTTTTGAGACTGTTCACTTTCACGTTACGCAATTCTGCTGTTTTGACCAATGCCTCTTCTCTGATTATTTGAATATGAATTAATACTTGAGTTTCATACTTACAGGACCCTATTATTCACAGGACCCCATGTGGCTTGGGGGCCCTAAGTGATTGCTAGCAAGAAATGACTCTGGTTACACTGAAAGCTTTTACACCAAACTGCTTATTGTCAGATCTCAGACAATGGCTCACCTCTATAGCTACTTGTGACTTACTTTTCATGTGTTTATCATTGTGTTTGTGCTAGGTGATGTTAGCCTTAACTGATGCAGATCTTGAGGCTGGTTTGGGCATCAGTAACTCTATGCATCGCAGGAAACTGCGCCTGGCCATTGAAGACTACAGACAGGCTGAGTCTGGACATGGGTGAGATGTATACACACTTAAACAAAAGTCCAGTCCAAACTACTTTCTTGCATTGTGTGCAAAAATGCTGTTTTATTGGTAATTGTCTTGTTTACACATTGTTTTTGTTAGCTCAACATTTATAAAATGCTTTATTTCTTAAAATGCTGTTTTATTGTGGCAGTTGTACTCTATTTTTTGATATTAAGAAAGCAGAGGTTGTGCGGGTGAAAGGTGTGCATTGTTTTCACAGCAGGGGGTTCTCACCCCTCCCCTTTCTCTCCTCTTTGCTCACTAGCAGCTCAACCCTGAGTCACACAGAGAGCCAGCAGTGTCCTAGTTAATCTGATGCCAGAATAAGGAAACAAATATTTGATTGTATTAATCAAAAGTGGCCACTAGAAGGCCTGCAGAAAGAGGCTACATACTGCAACCAGACTGACCACAGTGTTATCCACTGTACATATAAAATATACAAAAACGTTCCAAATGTACGCACCCAACAGGGGCAGCACACAAACCTTGTATAAAAGCCTGTTCAAAGCAGATAAACAGAAAGTTTTTGTGTGTGTCTGCTGTCAGGCTATCAAAAGCAGCGGATCTGGACCACCACTGGGTGGCGCAGGCGTGGCTGAGTGATGTAGGACTGCCACAGTACTCCCAGTTTTTCCACACCCACCTAGTGGATGGACGCCTGTTGAGCACACTCACTCGCAGCGACCTGGAAAAGCACCTGCACGTGTCCAAAAAAGCCCATCAGAGCAGCCTCCTGCTGGGAATACAACTACTGCACATGCTCAACTTCAACAAAGAGGTACACAAACACGCACACACAAGTTTGTATTGCTGTCTTTGTGGGGGTCTTGGTACCATAGCTAAATGTTGCTCTGCAACACCTAACGCAACCATAAACCCAGGAGCCAAAAAGAAACTTAAGATAAAAGCTGCATTTCTGGTTTTTAAATCTGGCATATTTCTGCAAATCCAGTCACCCCAGCACCCAGACCCCAACTTCATGTGTTCTTCTAAGACTGAACTCTGGGATTCCTGCAGATCTCGTTGAAAAACTCAAAGCAAGTTTACCAAACAGAATGGAAACTATATTAAAGCCAAAGGGCGCAGATATTAATTACTGCAAAAACTGACATTACATTTAGTGGTTATGTTAAATATACAGTATGGAAAATTTGTACACCTCCAGTCAAATTATATGTTTTGAGCTTAATGTGTTGGAGAAAAAAATAAAACATGACATATAAAATGTGCCCTAACTTTTGTACAGGCCACAATTTATGGTTTATTCTTTTCCCCAATACATTAATTTCAGCAAATAAACATTAAATTTGCATTAAAATGTTCAGAAGTGTGTTCACTGTAGAGGATGTGTTAACCTCTTACATGGCCAGGGCCCACCAGCAGGCCCAAAGTTTTATCACACACTTCTATAACCTAAGAATAGCTCAACTAGTTTGCATTGAAGCCCCTGTAGTTACTGACTAATAAGTCTTAGTATGTGTGTCCACAGCCTTTTCCATAAAGCTGGGAACATTCTGTGTTACTGCAACTCAGTGCTGTTGTGCTACTTACCTTCTACCCCAACCTTAACCTTTGTCTCAGGAACCAAAAGCAAATGTTGAGGTCTTTATTATACCCTATAAAATCTACAATGTTGGGATTCTATTCATACCACAGATGTAAGTTTCCACACTTTTATGAAATAAAAAGAGTTGTAGTATTTAAACACTGTAAAAGTTTCAAAACATACCATTTACTTTCCAGTCCATTGAGCTCATTCATGTAAACTAAGCTGCAAAAACAGCCTGTTTTAAATTCCACAGTTTCTGTGATGTCACAGAAAATAATTAACATATGTCCACCTAATCAGCCTACAGCAGTTTAGCCCCAACCATTCATGCTGAAGTTATGAGTAGTGTTTTATCCTGGACTTCTTTTTGAATGAGAGTAGTCAATCAGAACAAATGTTATTTACATATATCAGTCTTAGAGGCACAGCCTGTTTAATTCTAAGGGTTAAAAAGGGGTTGGTTGACTGTTTTTAGCACATAACCCCGCACAAATGGTATAAGTGGACGTCAGAGGAAAAGTAAAATGCAAATAATATACAGGACACGGGCACAAAATTGTATTTTGTTCTAATGAGAGCAGCCAGTGTCTACACAACTTCCAAATATGCATATTTTTATCAGCTTTGGTCTAAAATGCATGTAAAATGGCAGTGTGGTCCATGCTGATTCATGTTGTATATGTGGCTGAAGGTGCTGCAGGCAAGACGAGCGGACTGTGAGAGCCAGAACACAGACCCTTTAGTGTGGACCTGCCAGCGTATCATTAAATGGCTGAGAGACATCGACCTGAAGGTACATTATTGATACACACTGAGGAACTACAGAAACAAGTGCAAGTATAATATAAAGATGATACATGAAGATGTGGAGAGGGAAAAGCAATTGTCTCGGATGTGAACGTGTGCATTTGCAGGAATTTGCTGACAATCTTCAGAGCAGCGGGGTCCATGGTGCAGTCATGGTGCTGGATCCTTCCTTCACCACGGACTCTATGGCAACGGCTCTAGGTATCCCTGGAAACAAGCATATGGTCCGTCAACACCTGAGTGAAGAAATGAAGGCCCTCCTCAGCCCTGCAAGGTGAGAGAGAGAGAAAGCAAAGGAGACATAGGGTGGGGTGGGTGGAGAGAGAGAGAGAGATAAAGATAGAGAGAGAGAGGGAGAGAGAGAGAGCGAGAGAGAGAAAGAGGCAGGGAGGGAAACAGAGAAGATAGAGTCTGAGAAATAGAGAAAGAGAGGGAGAGACAGAAGGAGAGAGAGAGGGAGAGAGAGAGACAAAGGGACAGAGAGAGGGAGCTTGCATATATGGTCTGAATGGTGCTATCACAGAGTCCCATATTATGTGTCTCTGCAGATTGGGCATTGAACAGGAAGTCGAGCCTTTGGGAACTCCGCCCACTCTGTCTCGTCAGAGTTCTCTGAGACGTTCCACCATCGGTCGCCATGACGACCAACTGTCTTTCAGAAAACTCACAGCCAAGGTGTGACACTGACTTATTCCTTACATTGCAACAGTAACTGTGATGATTAAAATATGTTTTCATCTATATTTTAACCCCTTAAATTCCAAGACACATTACATGTTCAGGCTTATTATTCAGTAACTACATGGAAAACAATTATATATTTATTTAGGGGTTAAAGTTAGTTTCAGGGGGTTAAATGAGAGGATAACCCACTGAAACCAAGGTTGCATTTACAGTGGAACCCTGTAAGACATAGAATACAATCTCCAAAATGCTACGTTTTCAGGAGAAGGAAGAATATACTTTATTTTAGATGTAAGTCAATGGAACTAGACTTCCCCCCCCCAAGGCATTTGGGCCATTGATCATAAAATTTGTACCCAGTGTAAAGGGCAACAAAGTTGTAAGTGTGAGGAATTGAAGCCTGGCTCCTCCAGTAGGTCCACAGAATTTAAGAGGTTTCTGTTTAATCTCTACTGCCCACTAGTGGTGAATGCCATTACAGTCCTCTGTAATCTGTTCTGCAACCGAGGTCACATGTTTAATGGTCAAAAGTTTGAGAAGAAAGTTAAGGTTTGTCTTATGTTCCTTTCCCCAGCCTCCAGTAAGCTTCAGTCTGAAGAACCACAGTGGGAGGGACATCAGTTCTCTAAGCTCTGCTTCATTACAGAGAGATGGATATGAGGAGGCCCCAGCCCAGCCAGAGAACAGTCCAACCAGACAGCTCTCTGCCTCTGATGCTGATACTGTCTAAGCCCTGCACCTTAAAGGAAACAGGCCAGGATGTTGTGCAAAGCATTGAAGAAATGAACGTTTCCTGATGAAACAGCACTTTTTGAGCTAGTGGACATTTACAGTAGTTTATGTTTACCAGTTGAAACACTTTTTTTGTCCGATTTTTGTGATGTTGTTAAATGTATTTTTGTATTGGACTCTCACAAAAATTGTTGCACAGCAACTTCATGCATCAACTTTGAATAACAATGCACCTGAACGTTATGAATCATTGTAATATTTGGAACCTGCTACCATTTATATTTACGTTTACCATTCTGCATAAAGAAGCCTAAACCTGGATTATCTTCTCTAATAATGACTCTTTCTTGACATAATGCACAGCCAAACTCCATTCTTAATCTGCATTCAGAAAGTGTGTCTAAGGGGCGGTTCTGTAGACACAGCATACGCCTGGTCTTAGACTTAAAGGCCCAAACATTTTTCTTGTGTTTTACGAACCCACTTATGATGTTTGTATGGGTTTATGTACTAAAAACAGGCCTAATTCATTTTACATTACCATTTTCTAATCTCTGATAATCCCATTGAATTGAACAGGCTGTTTTTGTTACTCTGTCTTCTGCAACTCAAATATGTAAATGATCTCTATTCTGATTGGCTGAGTAGAAACCGTATAACTATGTGCTGCCTCAAAAACAACGAATTCAAACAAGCTGTTTTTGCTGCTTTATTTTTTCAAAAGGAATCTTTGGTTTGACGTGATATGGGTCCTTTACAAGACCACATGAACAATCAGTCCAAAGTTAGCTGATTAGACTTAACCTGTGAATGAAAAACCATGAAAAAGTTTCGTAAATCAGTAGCTGTGTCAGCCTACATTGTCCTACACATCATAATAAATGGTCTTGCTTCACTCATCTTTGCCTCATATAACACATTAAAAGGCCCATATCATTTTTTTTTTATAAAAGAGTTTGATACAGTATGTAAACATTGTTAAAGTTTTAAAATGTGCTGTTCACTCCCAAGCCTGTACAGTCAGAAACTAAGCTGCCTATGTGGCCTATTTTAAAATGTCATAAAAACCATTCCTTTTAATTTTCGAAATCAAAAATGTTAACACATCCTGTACTGGGAACAAACTTAAATCTTCAAATTTTAGTTTTTAGTTTTTTTTTGTTTTGTTTTTTTTTTCTTTTAAAATATAAAAGATAAAATACAAAAAATGTGCTGTACATTTTTGCATGGGCCACATTTTATGTTTTAAGTTTTCCACTATGTTTAATTCAGCAAATGAACAGCAATTTAGCCAAGGGTGCCAAAACTTTTGCTTTCGACTGCATGTCTAATCAGCCCACAGCAGTTTAGCTTTGCCCATTCACATTTAAATTATATATGAAGTGTTTCACACCAGACTGCTTTTTGAATGAGCTACAATATAGGGCAGCCGATCAGAACAGAGCTCATTTACATATATCTGTCTTATAGGCACAGAGAGGTTGGAAAATGGTTGTGTAAAAAGTTTTTAATTGTTTTTGTTACATAAACCCTCATAAATATAGTGAGGGACTCAGGGATGAGAAATAAAATACAACAAATATATAGGATATGGGCCCTTAAACAGCTCTCTAAACTTACTCTCTAACCACAAAGATATTTACAACTATTTCTCAGTGTTACAGTGTTTTTGACAGTTTTTCTGACAGAAGTTCATCTAAAAGTACAGTAACAGAAAAGGAACAATTTGTCTCAGCTGATGTACATGTGATACCATCCGCCCTGTGAATGATGCTGGCAGTAGTGAAATGAAATCGCTCTTTAGAACCTCTGCCCTCCAAGTACAGACCCATATGACTCACCTGTCCAGCGACACCACACCTGCTCATAAAGCTAGTTAAACATTGCAGGATTCCCAGCATTGAGGGAAAGCTATGATTTGGCTTCTGTTCCTCTAGTGGACATTATTTTTCAGAAGCAGCCTGATAATACTGCTTCATGGCAATTGGTCTGTTGTTGTGTAACCAAAACAATGAGCTGCAGTTCTGTGAACTATCATTTCCTCAGTTTAGACACAATAAAACCTTATTTTGTGGGAGTTATAGAGAAGGAAAGAAAGAAAGTAGGAAAAAGAAAAATAATAAATCATGTTTATACTAAGAAAAATAACAGTACTACAATATCCACAAAATCCACAAAAATTTGAGCATAATTAAACGGTTAAGATGTAAACAGAGTCATTCAGAGTGGTTTGATGTGAAATGATCCATTCTACAGAAACTTGCTGAGTCAGATTTGTCTACAGTGGTGGTGAAGAACCAGAGTGTTTAAGTGTTTAATGACTCTAAAAACTACCTAACGAAACATTACTGCCTTATGTAGTTATGAATAAGCTTCCTAATGTCTGAGACATTGTTTCACTAAAGTTTTGAGGTAAGGATAATTTTAAAAGCCCTTCGTGGTGGAGGGGTACATGTAAGGTGTTGTGATGCAAAATAGTTCCTAAAGACAACATAAAACTATTTTTTACTATTTTTGGACAGTAAATAAAATGTCAGTTTTTGCATTGTAGACAATATCCAGCAGGTAAGGATAGCAAGAAGATAGCAGGCCACTGCTGGCCCACTGATTTCAAAGCTGGAAGCCCACTGGCTTTTCCCTCAGCATTTTCAGTGCAGCCCACTAATTGTTAAGCAGAATATTTGACAAAATTTCACTTATTCAATGTAATCGCTTATTAACCCTTCACAGTCCAGTTTACTTATTTTTCCTTCATTTCTTTCGTTTTATTATCCTTTGTAGATGAGTTTAATAGCAATATCATTAATAGTTACTAAGCTATATTCAATCCAGCACAGTGTCAGCAACAACATTTTCAACAAAATCATTTTAGATTAGGCCTCTCCGGTTTGAGGAGATTATAAACCAATTAGACCTTATATACAGGACAGTGATCTGGGTGGTCTAAGGGGGGAACAGCAGTGGTCCCTGGTTCCCATCACCACCACTGTAAAGAAATCCGTCGTCATGTTTCTCTACAATTAATCGTTTCACATCAAACCACTTTGACTGACTTTGTTTACATCTCAATGACTGAATTATACAGAAATTTTGAAAAATCGGTGGAATTCTCCTTTAAGAACCTTTATATTTAAGCGAATCTTTAACTCTTTAATTACCCCTCTTTGTAGCCCTCTTTTATACCTACACTTGGGTATCCTGTAGTAAACTGTAGTAATCGTGCTGTAGATTCCTGTAAGAGCTGTTATAAGGTTGGCCTCTTCTGTTCTGACTGGCTGAAGCGAGTCTTTATTACACCAAAGGGTTAAAGCCTGACTAGGAGGGGACAGGAAGATGAGTCTTGTTCAGGACTGAGCTAAAAGCTGCACAAATTCAAGTCTTCTCTGCCTACGAACGCGTAAATGCAGTGTTAGGTTATTTGTACCTGTGTAAGTCTATAATTAGGCTGTTGTGAAAGTGTTGTCTAGTATTTTAGCGCTGTTTTCTTCCACCGGGCGCTCAGACAGACTCGGTGAAGTCCCGCGGATTCTGACCGAACCGATGGTTACGAGGTAGGTTAAGTAGTTTGAGGGACTCTTCACTTTGCAGGAGTTTCTCTTCAACGTTTTAGCTACGTCTTTAGCCGTGTTCATCTACCAACACACGGACTCTAACTTCTTTGCTTATATTTCGCGGTCAAGTCAGTTTTGCATGTTGTTAAGCTGACCACTTCAGTTGGGACCCTGCACAGCAGCTGTGTGGCTGTGATTCGGTTTGGTTTTCGGTAACGTGATTATCCTGTTGAACACAGCCGGTATGTTAGTCGCCTAAGTCTTATTAGGAGTCTGTGGAGTTCGTTTGCTAGCCTAGCCTTGTTGTGAAGGAACTGAGTTGGTCACCTATTTGCCATTTGCTTTCTTCCTGCATTCAGTTAGGACTGTTGGGTGGTTTTAGTTAAGTTAGTCAGCTTCTGTCGCCAGCTTCTTGTTCGATTTTCCCCGTTCCACCTTAAATGGCGCTGCAGTAATATTTTGGCGCCTGTCTGCCTGAGGCGCCAGAATGGAACTGTTGCATCATTTAAGGTGGAACGGGAAACTTCAAACAAGAAGCTGGCGATAGAAGCCAACTTCAGCCTTGTTAGCCAAGCAATATTATAGCACTCTTGTTCGTCTAAAAGTGATGTTAACTGTTTTACTACGCTCAGCTAGCTTCATATTTTCAGTCTCTACGTTTGTGGACTGTGCTTACCTGAACTCCGGGGTGTGGGAAGTTACTCTACTCTCAGCACGGAACTATCATTTACGGAAGAAACACAGCCGTTATTATGTTGGTATCATAACAGCTGAGCTGAGCTGGTGGATTAATAAAGGCTTTCTGAGGACACAAGAAACTTCACAGCAAACACTAAGTAAAATATTACTTCCACCAGGAGACTAAAATAAACAATAATTAGAACCGACCCCAATGACAGGACTGTGGAAACTCCTAAACTCATAGACCTGTTGTGCTGTAGGCGTTCACAGATCAGCCATAACATCAAATCCACCTCCTTGTTCTACATTGTACATTTTATCAGCTCCACTTACCATATAGGGGCACTTTGTAGTTCTACAGTTACAGACTGCAGTCCGTCTGTTTTTCCCTGTTCTTCAGTGGTCAGGCCCACCACAGAGCAGGTATAATTTGGGTGGTGGATCATTCTCAGCACTGCAGTGACACTAACATGGTGGAATCAGAGAGCTGCTGGAGTTTTTAAATACTGTGTCCACTCTATTAGACACTCCTACCTTGCCAGTCCACCTTGTAGATGTAAAGTCAGAGACAGTAGCTCATCTGTTGCTGTACAGTTTGTGTTGGTCATCCTCTGAGCGGTGGACTATTCTCAGTCCAGCAGTGACACTGAGGTGTTTAAAAACTCCAAGAGCACTGCTGTGTCTGATCCACTCGTACCAGCACAACACACACTAACAAACCAAACCAACATCAGTGTCACTGCAGTGCTGGGAATGATCCACCACCCAAATAATACCTGGTCTGTGGTGGTCCTGACCATTGAAGAACAGTGTAAGAGGGGGCTACAGAGAAAATGTACTACAGTCTGTAATTGTAGAACCACAAAGTGCATCTATATGGTAAGTGGAGCTGATAAAAAGGACAATGAGTGTAGAAACAAGGAGGTGGTTTTAATGTTATGGGTGATGGGTGTCTAGCTCTACCACGCAGACCTGCAGAGACCTCTTTTACACATTAAAGGGTCCTTACCAAGGAAAAACTAATTCACCCTGGCTTTTTGAAGTAAAATATTTCAAAATAGTATGTGGATATTGTTAAAGTTTCAAAAAGTGTCCATACAGTCCATAAACTAAACTAGACTTAAGCCTGTTTTGATTGAATTGTTTTTGTGATGTCACATTTACATTTGTCTGTCTATTTTGAAGGAGTGTCTCAGCCTGGGCTGCTTTTTGAAGTACAATACAAAGCATCAGAACAGAGATCATTTCTATAGATCAGTCAGTGTGTAAGTCAGTAGGTTATTGTACAGTGACATAATTTGTTGTTTTCTGTCTCTCCTGCAGATTAAACTTGAAATATATCAATAATTATGGAGTTAAAGTGCAGAATGGCAAGTTGAGTGTTACTTACATCTATATTGTGTGAATCATTAAGGAATCAAAGCAATTTTTTGTATAAAATCTCTGTTCTGTGAAATCATTAGTAATTGGACAGTTGGGCTATGTTCAGACTGCAGGCAAATCGGATTTGTTACTCAAATCAGATCTTTTGAGATGACTGTCTGCACTGTTATTTGCAAGTGATCAGATTTGTGTGTCCAGACATCACCAACCGATCTGCATGGGTTGCCATGGTATCGACGTAGGTGTCAGTAACTACGTAGCTACACTGATGACGTGGATTTCAAACAGCAATGCAGCAGAGATGGAGGTGCATCATCTTGCCCTCCAAACTGTTCAGAATTTTCTGGCATAAGCAAGAATCTTTGCCGCTCTTCTCGCAGCACTTCCGTTTGTCATGTTGCAAGTGACGCAAAGGACGCTCTGAAATCCGCTTTGAGCGTCCAGACAGAGACGCGTCCGTAAAAATCAGATTGAAATCGCATTTCAAACCACCTCCAACTCATGTTTTGATTTTTGATTAGCAAAAATCGGATTTCATGTTATTTTTAGCTGTCCGGACTATCAAAATCAATCTGGATACAACCTGGACATTGCAAAAATCGGATTTGAGCTGGCAGTCTGAATATAGCCTTGGCTGCTTGGTTGTTTCCTGACCAGCTGTGTATCTTTGCAGTATTAATTCATGCAAAAAGAGATAAAAAACAGAGTAGTGTAGCATTTGTTTCTGGAATCAAAGGCTACTCTATGCAGCTGTTCTAGTCTAAAATAAGAATGAATCACACACAGATGCAGCCAAAGCACTGAAAATGTCAAATGAGCTGTTTGGTAGCAAGAATGCACAGTCAGATCACATCTGACTGCGGTATGATCAAAGAATACTTTTCTAAACAGAGCAAGAATGCTGTCTGGGCTTTAGGCACTGATTTGTAAAAGACTATCATAAGAAGAACAATAAAGCAGCACAAGCTCAGAAATTTCATCACAAAATGCAAATCACTGATGAAGTGGAAAAATAGCCATATTGTATGTCTGAGTTGTTGGCTGTAGGTGTCTGACACCCACCACACCCCTGTAGGATTTATTCTGAACTATAAAAACATCTCCGATTTATTCTTCAAAATTCAGTGGTCGAGATGTGAGCATAGTCATTCAGAGAGGTTTTGATGTGAAATGGTTTATTGTAGAGAAACTTATCCTCTCTGATTTTATTCACAATGGTGGTGATATGAACCAGGGGCTGTAATGGGGCCTTCTGAGTTCTTATATTTAATGGTGATAATGGTAAACTAGTGATGAATCTATATTAAAAATAAGTTTTTTGGGGACTGTTTGCCTAACCACACCCTCAGCTCCCGTGTACCCCTCCTCAGTGAATGGATTTTAAAAATATATATGTTTTACCTTCTCAAGGGTATAATAAAACAACGTACCAGATGTTAGACAGTCACTAGACATTATTTTTTGAGTCATTAAACTCTTCAGATGTCTGCTTCCTGTCACTACCAGACTAGACCAGGACTTAGTTTACAACGTAACCATTTGATTATGCAGAAATCGTGAAAAATCAGTGGAATTCCCTGCTCAAATCCTACCAAACATTACCAAATGTCTCAAACTTCAATGGATGGCACCTTACCCTGCTAAAGTAAGTGGAGAGCTAAAGATAAAAAACCTGGAGAGTTTTGAACTGACCAAATCAGTTACCTGACCTGAAGTCCACAGAGCTTTTATTTTAGTTGCTGAAGACAGGACTGAAGGGAAAAATCCAACAAAATAGGCAGTAACTGAAAACAACTGCATCTCAGGCTTGGTCCAGTATCGCCAGTGAAGATACCCAGCATCTGGTGATATATGTGGGTTGCAGACATTAAACATTCTTTGTTGGTGAAGAGTTTTTAACTAAGTACTAAATATGACGATTTTATCCGTGTCCATGTGACCAATCATTTATGATCCCCTGAAATGGGGAAGGGCTATATATAAAACAGGATGTGATTCTTATTATATGGTTTACCCAGAGCAGGCATGTCAAACTGGGAACCTTCTGGGTCAAAGTGCAGTGGATATTAGCGTTTACCCTCATCTAATGTTCTGAATTCAGTTAATGAAGGCCTTGCTGATTAACTAATGAGCTGAATCAGGTGTGTTTAATGTGGCAATATGCTGAAGCCTGCAGTGTTTTGGCCCACGGGGACTGGAGTCTGACACATGTGACCCACAGTATGATTCAGCCACCTTGAGTAGCTTTAGATTAAAGCTGATATTCTGCACTTTAACCTCAGAGGCCTCTCTTCATTTCAAATGTGTTTTGTTAGAATACAGAGTCAAGACAACAAAACTGTCTTATTACTTACAGAGTGTATTATATGCATGACATCATGGTTTAATTTGGTAATTTACCTCTTTAGCACCAGGTTTATTATTCAGCTATTAATCTTAAGGCTTATTACTGTGAAACTAATATGCAAGTTGTGTGGTTATGAGAGTGAAGAAGTAAAGTGTGGGCCTTATGTGTTAAAGGCGATAAAACTATGTCCCTTGAAGTGTCTCTTTAAAAAAAATTTAGTGAATCAAATAAAATTATGTGAAATTATGGTGATTTGAGGGAAGAGGCTCCCTAGTGTAATGTCCCACCCACTCCTTAGTTTTACATCCTGGTCAAATGATAGGGCCAAATCTAATCTCAGCACATTTGTTAAATGTTTATGCCTTAACTAATTCTGAAATTTTATCTGGATGTCCGCATTCCTGAGATTTTTTTCCCACAGAAAAGTCTTTAAGGTCAGCTAGTGTAATTTTGGATAACAGTGTTCTAAGCATTTATGGATAATAGTGATCTGGGCATTTATATTAAGTTGTGCAAAAAATATATAAATATATGATTATGGGAGGTTGTTGAGATAATTTATTTGGTTTTAAAAAGAGAAAAAAAAAAT